CCCTCCATTCGAAGGTCCTTTCAATGTTATCTCGGAGAAATCTAAGTATTTTATGATAGAAAAGCAATGAAACATCGATTCCGTAAGTAGGCTGAAACCGGTTTATCTAGATCATAAACCATCATGTGTTGTTGGACCGTTTGCCTGACAAAACAGTCGCGGAATCGACAAGTAAGAACGAGAAATCTGCATAAGTGGCTAAAAAGTTTAGATGGGCACAGCCTATTAGTCAGTCAAGAATATCCAGTTTTGGCTGCAGCGTAAAGTGTGACCACGTATCGACTAAGATCTTGTGCTTATTTTTTCTCGTACCGTTTCACTTATTTTTAACAAAAGCATTACCAAAGAGAAGTGGTAGCCTGAAATATTATGCTACCCAGACTTCCTCAGATCTTTTGCTTTTGATGTATGAACGACAAAGCAAAAGCCATCCAGGCGAGTTTGACCTTTTTCTTTCCTGGTTAATTTACTATGTTTTTAGTACTTCTTAACTTATATGTATTTCCTTTTAGCCTGACTGTATCTATTTCATATGAACCACTCTCAAAACCGTTTTTTGTATATGTTCAGTAGCTTTATACGACCAATAATATTATTAACAAGTGGTTTCTGGACGAAGCATTTCGGATCAAACAATGGTTAAATACTTATTAGTGGTTCTCATCATTACTTTTAAGGGGTTTAAAAAGATTATGTTCCAAGTTAACGAGTACTTTTACAGCATGATTTGTATTGTAATCATATAACTCAGTTTCATTGGCACTATTCATTTTTTCCTATTATATTTTTTAAATTCTGTCATTTCAAATTCAACAACCGTGAACGTGTTCGGAACCTTGGACATGCGAATAACACTACCTATTTTATTTCCCATAGCTAATCCCCATAGTAAAGCTATTCATAAATGCTTTCTCGACATTGCTGTAAAGTTCGTGCTATTGCCAAAGAGATGGGTTTAAAGTTATACTCCCTTTGGCTAAAACCCAAGGTAACTATATTAACTATATTGATTTCACATGCCTAATTTCACACTCATTTCATAAGTGATTCTCCGGGTAATCAGAACACTGAGTTTACGACATGAATCTCACGGCCACGCTCACGTTTAAACATTTATTATCAATGGTCCATACGAAATTCTGGACCTTACCACTGGTGTTATAAAAAAACTGTATATTATAAAAAGTACGTCATATATTTTGCTTTGTTTGACGTAAAGCGGAAACCTATCACGCATGTGGCTTTTCTATCTGATTATTATTAATATGAACAAAAAACACTTGTACTGTTCAGACTTTGAGCAGCTAACGCGGAGTTCCGATGTGACTTGTTAGGGCACTTCAGCCTCTTAACCTGTCCTTTTATTGTTGTATTTCCCTATGTCTGAGCAACATATAATCAGAGAACATCGTATTTATGTGTTTTATGAACGAAAACGCCGACCCCAGACGCAATCGAATCTCTGCCCTCCTGAATGCTAGACCACAAACTTAACCAAGTGACCCCACCGGCCTATAGTCAACATGACTGCAGTGTTTCCTTACACTGATTAATTATTAATAATACTCATGACTAATAGAACTTGCACACTTGTAAGGTGTAGACCAACTCGTTGCCTAGATGAATTGAGATGTAGGTTTAATATAACGTGCATACTTACATCAAGCCATCAAATGGTCGCTAACATCAAAAACATATTCGATCCTCGTATTCTTTATGATTTACCTTTTCTCCTTCATCGTATATTCCACTTTTCCGGGCTAGTGAGTAATCTTATGCACCCGCACTTACAATGTAACACGCATAATTAGGAGTCACTGAACGGCGGAGAAGACCTGAAACCACAACTCACAATGTTGACTGAGGACTTCACACCAAGAGAGAACACGGAATGGAAGCCACGAGTCTTTTTATTCAAAAGTTAAAATTTGCTGGCCATGTACAGAAAGGAAAGCTAGTTTACAAATTGTTCTTATGAGTCATCTTGTAAGTTCAGTGGATCCAGAGCTTGCTCTTCTTCTTCCGAAGCGTTTATCCTTGGTCACCCTGCAACAGAAAAAAAACAGAATCCATTAACAACACCATACATGATGATTTTAACCCCATTACAACGAGCCCGGTTATACGATGCGGTCATCATATATTCAGGGTCATAAATTGGACCAGTCTTCAGTAATAAGGGTAGGAGTTCTGTCAAACTATACTTATCCTTGTAGTTTGTAACACTGTGGAATTTCGATCTGGTTTTGAGTATATCAACAGAGGGTGCTGATATTACGTGTTCCGGTAGAGAATTCCAGTAATTCACTACTCTGTGCGAGAAACGAACCTTCAAACGTAAACGATTTGATCTCGGTTTTTGAATTTTCTTCGAATATCCTCTCAAATGATCAATCCTAGACAGAAGGAAATAATAAGATATGTTAATACCAAGGCAATTATTCAGTATATGATAAACTAATATTAGATCATCCCGTATTCTAGGGCAAGATAACGGAAATAGGTTGAGGTGTCTCAGTCTGTCTTTTTAAGATAGGCCAGACAGACATTTTACCATTTTAGTCCCTCTTCGTTGAACTCGTTCTAGCATATCCGCCTCATACTTGGAACAAGGACTCGGTGCTTGAATTACATATTCCAAATGCGGTCTTACGAAATTCAGGTACACTGTTTTAAATATTTCCCCGCTCAAATACCGAAAAGATCTACGAATAGCTCATAATACCCTGTATCATTTTGCACCAACAGCCTAACAGTTACTCGTAGTTTTGAGATCCTGCTTTTCATGACTCCTAAATCTTTATAGTTTCTTACTTTGGGTAGCACTAATCCACATATTGTGTAGCGATATGAGTTATCATGGTTATTTAATTGCATCACCACACTCTTTTTAGAATTTACTTTTAGTGACCAGCTGTTCATCCATGCCACCACTGACCTAAGATTGTCCTGTGATCCTATTCCATCTGACATACTGTGTATGATTCTCCAATTCTTTATGTCATCGGAGAAGAGTAAAACGGATGATTTTGCTGCAGTTGGTAACCCATTTAAACAAAGTAAAAAGAGAAGAGGACCGAGGATTGTGCCTTGAGGAACTCCATTTTTACAGTTTCCTACGAGGAGAGAGCTTCATTTATCCTTACCCTTTGCCTCCTGTCATGGAGGAAGTTACTTATATAATCTGCGACTGCATAATGGAATCCAAAACTTTCAAGTTTGAATTTAACACCAGATTAGGAGACCTTATTGAAGGCTTTAATTAGATCTAAAAAAACCACATCTACAGGAACAGTCCGGTCTGTTTTTGTATCAGAAGTGGTGGAATTTTATCGCTTCTCTGAGTTCGCCTTTTTGTATACGAGAATAAGCGTTTCGGGCTATAATCACAATCCCTAATCAATTGTTTTTGATACGGTCGTCTAGTCTTACTTATTAACGTTCAACTGAACAATTATCAATTATATTTGTGTATTTGTTTTTTTACTTCATTATTTTATGCAGGCAGTGGAACAACTCCTCAGGTCTGATTTGATCTTTTAAATTTTTACTTGAGGGTGACTCAAGAAGTAGATGAGTAAACACCTGATAGCCGGACGGAGTATGGAAAAATCGCACCTCACCAACATGTTGTCGTGAAGCCAGCTCGTGGCACTTCCTCAGATATTCTTGTTTCATTCCCCCACCCTCGTTTCTCTTACAAGCTCTGATCACCATACAGAGGGCACGTAACAAACCATCATCGGTAGTTGTCAAATAAATTAAGTGCTACAAGATAAGGTAACAAGCCAGTAAATGACGACATCTAAGGGCTATCGTGGGTTGCCGACGAAGTTGGTCGGTAATGATTGAGAGTCAAGCAATGAACGAGTTGGTAGTTCTCCTTTGGGCTGTGGAAAAAGAATGTAGGTGTTCTTGATAGATAGGTTCATCTAACCGACGTTCCTACAGAAGTCGATTCTAGGATAATGTAACATCCGAGGTTGATTGGTTAAGAGTTGACTTCAAACAACTAAGTATCTGTCAAAACAATAGAGATCTAGTATTCATTCACATCCTTACTTTATGTAGGCACTACAGTTCCTGATATTCTATATTGAATATTGAAAAGCTTTGTGTGTTTGAACGGGTAATCCCCCGCACCACTGTGACTATCTTGAGATCTAAATAAAGACCTGCTCACTACTAGTCTGGTTTTTTTTATCAATAGAACGAGGGTTACCTATAGGCACGGAAGGACTACCTAGTTTATCAAACCTCATGTGGATGTCACATCATCACCTATACTGACTCGTCCAGAGGGAGCCAGTGGTTGCGGCTAAAGAACACGGGTTGGGGACATGGTAATATGAAAAGGAATGGGTTACGTAGGGTGATTACACTCCATGCTTGTGTCATGTCAAACCGATAAAGTTCTCCCGCGTTCACCATTTTTCTGACTTTCTCTAAGTTCCAAATCTTGAATGTAAATCTTTTCAGTTATCGTATGTTTACTATCAAGGATCGTGTGGTTGAAAATGAACACCAATACAGACATTTGAATCACCATTCCAAATAGCTCATAATGAAATGAATATATTCTTAATAGATACCTATATACAATGATCCGAGTAACATTTATCAGCAGTCACTTTATGGGTAACAAAAGCTCCAACGCTCAAAGCTGTAACTTTGGGTATGGCAAAGCGTCTCGCGGTGTCATATTAAAATTCCGTAACTGTTAACCAGGGTTATATAACAAAGACCTGGTCGGAAAAGACTTAGTAATATAAAACTATGATTACACGAGTCCCTAATAAAATTTAAAATATAGATCACAGGTAGTGATCAAAGAAATAACACTCTTGACCAAATAAATATTTCGCAGAAATGTTTAGTATTCTCTTTGTTGCACAGCGTTAAACTGAAGTTGATACTGACACCCAGGCATCCGACATTAAATCTTATATGTGACTGTCAGTTGTTTCTGCTTCCCACATTACATGACTGTAATTTCATACATGACAACGGACAAACGTACTCTTACCAGTTACATTTTGGCGAACACAAAACGAGAAAAAGCTACAAATTACAAAACAATACGTAGGTGGGTTCTTACGATAGCTTTATTGTTTTCTTTAACGTTTTAAGCATCCTAAACTGCCTCGGAAATACACAATAATTAAATACAACCTGTTCCGTGTATTCTTTTCAGCCAACAATTCTGCTCCATGCATGCCGTGTAGAGCAACCATAGTGTCGTATATTATGCATAAATTTGTGCATGGCAGTCATGAAATTACGGATTACAACATTTTTAATCTAAACAACTAGTTTGACCATTCATTCAAGAGGATAAATGACATACGACACTATACCTTTGCTGATGATTAAAATATATATTCCAGCTCAAACATCTTTGAATTTTTTAACTTTCCTGGTATTGCGCTAAAAAGTGCCCGGACACTAGTGTTACTGAATTCTCCTGTACTTAAGTTCATACCCGGTAACTGTAGAAAGTAAAAACCATCTAGCAAAAGTAGAAAACATTAGTAGGCCAAGGTGGCTAGGGGACTTACGGAATGATATACCGAGTTGTTTATATAAATTTACCGACAGATCCTCTGAATACACTGGTCTCCTTCTCTTCAACATCAGAGCTGAAATGCCGCCTCTCTAACACTCAAACCTTATGCGTCGCAGATTTCACAACCTATTGGACTGGCTATCAATGGCAACAATATGACAGAACTTCTAGGGGGTGGTACATGGAGAAGTTGATATCAAAATGTTGACATAAACCATACACTACAGAACCATCCTTCGACACCTAACACTATTAATAACGCACAACGTCATCTGTTACAAGCTACATTTTGGAAGTTAGGTTTTGTTGGTGGTTACTTTTTTCCGTAATAAATTTAAGTGTGCTGTATAAGCTTGTGTGATCGTCTTTTTGTTCTCCATTCCAACCCTTCTTACACCACCGTGAATCTTCCTATAACGCAGCAAGCACCTTCTGGTTGGACACCAACGGTGACAAATGAACAAATCATTTCATATTTAGAGGTGAATAATTTATAGACAGATTTAGATAGTGAAGAACCAACAGAGCATCGTAATCACTCAACAAATTGGATCATTTAATGTTGAGGAGTTTTTTAATATTGGACGTTACGCGGTAACAATAGAGTGTGTGGGTGCTACATAGATATTTTGATATTGCTGTTCAGTCGTAGATAAAAATAACTTGATTTAACTCGATATCCTATAAATTTTAGTTAGTGAACGTAGAAGCCCTTTGCTGTTTCTGGTAAGTTACACGTTCTTGTTGAATTAAACCTCAATTGAGGTTTAAACCTAAGTCGTACAACTTAAGTTGTTGTACTCCCAAATATGTTTAATTAAAATATTGTACAGATCCAAATCTTAAAAACGTTTCATTTGATTCCAGCTAAATTATTCACTTAACTTACGTATATATGTTCGCAATTTATCTCACATTTTTCACATTTTGCAAAAGAAACTTGAAATATCTTGTCCTGAGAAGTCCACATAGTACAAACAATATGGTATTGATTAAAGCCACTAATAATGTTTATTCAACATAAAACCCTCCTTTAGTTGTCTTTGCTCATTATGTTACGTAGCAAAATACATACACCGGCAAAGCAATTGTCACATCGCTGAATGTTGTTCGATGTTACTAAAACAGCCTAGGTATTGGAAGGATATCGTCATTGATTTGGCCTCGAAAACTTGTTAAATATCTATCGTCCGATCAGTCTTGTTAGTATGGTGGTTAAATTAGTGGAAACGGTTTGTGCTTCTCCCCCAGTTCACTTGTATGGAGATATTTTCAGGAAAGGACATGGTTTTCGCGAGGTTAACCCATGGAAATTGAACAATATGTAAATATAAAATACTTATGTAGGTGTAGTCTTTATAGATCTCAGCAAAGACTGTGTCTGTGACGTGGGTTTCAGAGGGAAACGGGAAAGCTTCACAATCAATTGTATAGGTAGGAGCCAGAATATGGACTTTTTAGCGATAGGAAGCAGCATGTGAGGGCAAATGATATCTTGCTATAGAAACATATAAATAATTAAATTCTCAAGGGATAACACTAGGATTGGGTCAGTAACAAGACACAGATTGTCATTGGTATGACAGATGTCATTTGAGGCTCCCATAATTCAGAGATGAAAGTCATCATGATCCCTGAACTCAACTCGTTTGAGACGTAGTAGTTATAAGTTTTCGCTATCAGGACGTTAGAAACAACGAAAGGTGGCTTATTGGTCAGAATACTGGACTAGCTAGGCTCCGTCTAATCGTCTGGGTATCCTGTTACCATCGTCAGCCTATCGTGTAAAAAAAGTAAATCAAGCTGAGTACAAAAATCTGTATTTGGAATATAAGTAAATCACTATATTTTTGTGTTAGGACTCAAAAGAAATTACAGTTGATTATCAAATCCATATAACTTGTTTCTAGATACTAATCCAGTGTAGGTACACCATATAGTATACCTTAGTTTGAATTCGACCTGTACTCATGATTCACATTCTTTCAGTCATTGTCACCATTGTATCAGCTGAATCTGCTAACCGACGCTTGCTTATATAGCATATTTTCATAACTAGGTACTTATTTTACGGAAAACGTAAATATTTATTATCTAACAAATGTTATTGCTTAAATGTTTTAATGAATATACTTCAGATTATCATGAATTCACAATCTCTTGAAGAAAACGACATTTTGCATGATTCATCATATGCAAATTGTGACATCAGAAAACGTCAACGGTCTGATAAGATTTCAAATCTTATGGGTCAATATCTTTTGAAAGGATGGAGAATGTTAAACGAATCTTGTCCTAAATGTGAGGTTAGTTGTATCATGTTATCAAATTTTGTGTTTTCCAGACTATTCTTTTCCAACAACCAAATGGTCAGTATTACTGCGTAGCTTGCTTAGAAGTTGATCAGGAAAAATCCAGTTCTATTAAAGAACCATTGTTAGATAGCCAACACTTACTGAACAAACCACAAAATTTCTCGACAGCATCGTCACCATTTCGTAGTGATGTTGACACTGGGTATGTATATTTATTGTCATAAAACAGTTATGACTTAACTTCAGTTTAATGATTGATTAAAATAGCTTTGATTATGCTCCATGAATACACATAGATTTTTTTTCATGACTGCTCGGCTAAAACTGTTACCTAGCTACTTGAACTTAAGTCAGTGGAGCAGGTTTTGAACTTTTCACTCCAATGGTTGTAAGTCAGGTGTTTAAGCCGGCGAACCATAGCATCATCCTGCAATTGATGATCAACATAATATGGAGTTCTTGTTATACGGTGATAACTAGCTTGGAGTTAACGACATAAATTAATGTATGAACATCAGTTGAGCGACTTTACCAAGCGTTTAATCAAATGGTGAAAGCATTATGTTTATCTGTTACCGATATTAATTATTTCCAATTTATATTGTTTGGGATTGGAACTTGGTACAAATTTTATATAGTTGCTTATCAAGATTTTAATCAACTGGCGTTGTCAGCATTCTTACTTACGGCCATTTTATTTTTCTAAAGTGATTGTTTATAAATGTCTATTTTGAAGCACGATGCCGTAGATGTTCTGACGTCACGAAACACAAGAATTGTTGGCCACACAGTAAGTTCAATATTTTTATCATGGGTATTCCCTTGACCAGTCCATCCCCAACGTAAACAGGAATTGTCTAGCTACTTGCTAGTCAACTTGCCACACTTCCAATACCTGCATCATATAACTTCATCACGGATTGATAAGACAGTGTAACACTGTTTTAAGCAAGGTGACCTACTCTGCATAATATTTAGCTCTATCTGTTAATTAAACCGGCAGTGATAGCCGTCTATTACAGTAGATCTCTTGAAACCAACAATTATGAGCAGTGGTTTATGATCTGAAAGTATGACCACAGGGCTTCTTTTAACAGCAAACATCATTGAATTGCTTGAAGTTCGATTATCTTGTAGTTCCACTCAAGTGGGGTGGATAATTTCGCAGTCATCTAATATGACTTATATTCGTCTTGGAAATTTATAGGCATTTAATCCTTAACCAGTGAATTGTGGGATTACACTTGATGTTCTTCAGTATTGACAATTTAGTAATATCATTTCTTACAGTTAATGTTATTCGAGCAAGAATTGTCATCACTTAACCATATTCGTTCTATTTATCGGTGTAGTTGTATGCCCCGCAATACACCTCATAGCCCTTTTTACAAGACTTCCAAGCTATGTTGTAAGACAGAGTGTATAAGTGTGTTTGTACAAATTACGTATTGCTAAAGTGTTTAATAAAAGCAACAATATTCTTTGATATAATACTTTTCTACAATCTTTGTGTATCTCTGTAGTTTACCAAAGAAATCCACTGATGCTCAGATGAAACCGCTTTCCGATAATAAAAAAACTTCAACAAATGCATGCAGTGAAATTAGTATACTAACAGAACTACGTGAAAAAATCCATTGGTCTATGTCTCAATTGGTGGAGACTACTACACCTATGGAAATCCGGCAATGGGTGGATACACTCAAGTCTTTATTAGATCTATGGGATAAATTGTTAAAATCTAATTTTGTCAAGTCCTAATATCAAGAAAGCCATATCATAAATGCAAGCCGATACTAAGTGTATTTTTCTGAATACAGTTTTACTAAAATTTAACAAGATTATGTTTTCTTCCGTATTTTGTTATTGTAATTTTTACTTTACAAATTTTGTGCGATTTCTGACTGATATGGTTTCATAGAACACTAATCCGCATTTTTATACTACTCTGATGTGATCAATAATGCATATGTGACCTTGAAGAAAACTTATTTTTAAGAAAAATTTGATTCATCAATAAGCTTGATTAGTGTAGATCTTACTCTTCTGTTCAACAAATATTTACTTCGTCCGGGATTTTAGAACGAAAAAACTCATAGAAATACCTTATAATGATGTATTCGTTCTTGTGAGTCTCACTTGTTAATAATGCAACCGAAAAATCTATCAGTTAGTGATAATCTATAAGATAGTATATATTTGTATTTAGACAGTTTTATCGACTCCAGGACTTTCAAAAATATTTTGGTTTTCGTCTTCAGAATGTCCGTGAAGGTGGTTACTGTTGTGCTTCATGATTCTATCTAACTATTGTTCGAATGGCTAGAGTACACTTTATCATCTTGAATCCTGAACATCAAACAACAGTTGGTCAGTCTTCATGCTATTTTACTATGATAATAAGTTTGGCTGAATTAATCCTCAATTTCGGATGATCAAATCAAGTATCATTTTGTTTTTTTAGAAGCAGCTCGGCTAGTCAATCACTCAAACAGACTTATTTTTATGTGTATGATGCAATGCCCTGGTACGGACGAGAATGGGAAGTCATTTCTCTCCTTCGAAATGCTCTCGCATGGGCACGTGCATACCACCACTGTCAGGGAAGTCCTACTCACTGCCTTCTCACGGCGGGGGTGTTGTTTACGAAATTGAGAGGAGTAAGAGCGACTGTCCGGTGCTTTAACCGAGTTGGTGGGTATGGAGGACCCACCTAGGGGAGTTGGAAAACCCTGATTTCAAATCAATGGTGTACATGGGCTCCAGTACTCTGAGAGGACAAATGGTGTATGAACCTGTTGTTGGTCACCGGCTACCACGGGACTGCATCTCCTGACTTTGCTCCACTGTCTTGTGAACCAAACCTTTAGGTCAAAGGCCCCGGGTATGGCTCTCTAAGGAAACCACCTGTTTCGGTTTGGGCACCCGGGCAGTATCCCAGCCCTCAGGTGATTTATGTGACGCATATATTTTTGGTGCCTCCTTATACCAATGTTTATGTGCTTAAATAAATAAATAAAATAAATTTTATGTTTATTAAGTGCGTTCAGTTTTAGATTGTTTGCCCATCAAAGTTCTTTTCTTTTTAGTACCATGTTTACGAGAGTATTCTTGCTTCTCTCCGCCGTTGTCATTGTTGAGATGAAGTGGAATTATCGATACATCACAAACTGGAACCCGTCGATTTAATATTCATGTTATTTGGCGATCGAATCTTGTGTAGTAGGGATCGTAGTTAATAGTATGGATATTTATTTATTTAAACACATAAATATTGGTACAAGGGAGCACCAGAATGTAAAGAGAAAAAGAAGGTAAGGTGCGCATAAGAAAAAAAGAGGAAGAATAACAACCACAGATTAGTGTATGGTAGTGTAATAATAATAATAATGAGGGAAACGGAAAGGTACAATCAGAAAGAATTCCTTCAGTTAAGGGAGTTACAACATTGTTATGAAGAAAGTAAGAGGTTATAGCAGGATCGCCACTGGCTTTTATTCTGAGCCATATCTGATAACGTCTCTAACCACTGTGTTGCAGCATCTCTCGGACCCCAGACAGGGAGTCGTGAAGGACCAAAACAAGCCAGTCCTTTGCAGCTTTCTTTCATGCCACGACACCATGTCATGCACTGACCACCTCTCCGCTTCTTCCAACCAGTCCCAGAGTCGGCAAATAATGCACGACGTGGAATTCTCTGGGACGACATTCGTAGAACATGTCCAAGCCACCGAAGTCGATGTTTCAAGATAGTGACACCAATTGAATTGTCGTCTCTGCGCCTGAACACACGATGCCGAAACTCTGCATTACTGACATGGTGTTGCCACTGGATGTCAGCAATCCTTCGGAGACAGCGATGATCAAACGCACAGAGTCGTCTAACATCCTCAACTCGGAAACCAGGTTTCAAAAGCATAAAGCAGAACTACTCTCACCGACGCGTTGTAGATCCGACCCTTTACAGCCAGACTAACATCACGAAGGCGCCAAACATCCCCCAGATTGGCATAAGCCGCTCTGGCTTTCACTATACGTGCATTGATCTCATCACTCACACTACCACCAGCACTTATGCAGCTACCTAGATACACGAACTTCTCGACTACGTCTATCTGCTCACCATCCAGAGTGAGTACAGGATTGGAATCCTGCCAGTCTTGTAGAAGTACTTTGCACTTCGAAGGTGCAAAGCACATACCATACCTACGGACACGGATTGCCAACTGATTAAGTGCGGATTGCATGCCTTGGGCATTATTGCACAGTAAGACAATATCATCAGCATACTCAAGGTCGAGAAGTCTTTCTTCAGGCAACAGATCCACACCACCATTACTTACATTCATCAGAGCTGTTTCCAGAATGTCATCGATGGCAAAGTTGAAGAGGAATGGTGAGATTGGGCAACCCTGCCTAACCCCACTGCTCGAATGGAACAATGGAGAGAGGTAGTTGTATGCCCTCACTCTGCCTGAGGTGTTTGTGTATAGGGCTTTTAAGATGTTAATAAACTTCTCAGGCACACCCTTCTTCAATAGACAATCCCAGAGAACAGTCCTTTCCAACGAATCGAAGACAGCCCCGATGTCAAGAAACACTACGATTGTTGGCCTTTGATAAGTATGACGGTGTTCTAACATTTGGCGGAGGGTGAAGATATGATCAATACATCTTCGACCAGAACGAAAACCAGCCTGCTCCTCGCGAGTCAGTCTTTCTCGGGTTTTAAACAACCTAAGAAGTATGACAGAAGTCAATAGTTTGGACGCAATCGGAAGTAGACTTTCCTCCCGATACTTGTTACAGGAACGACGTGAACCCTTTTTAAAGATAGGGACAACTATCGACTCATTCCATGACGTTGGAACACTCTAGCTCCTAGACCTTTGTAAACAACACAGTTCCTTAACAAGAAAGTCACCACCATCTCTAAAGAGAGCCGGTGGTAAGTCATCTGGGCCCGGTGACTTGTAGAGTTTCGAGAGTTGGAGTTCCTTGCGGACTTCCGCCTCATTTGGTGGATCAGTCGTCACTGGCCATGGAGGGCAGGACAGTTCAACCGATGTTGCCGGAGCAGCAGGCCAGTCGACACCAACGCCAACAAGACCAGACGAAGATGCCACAAGGTCCCCGGATAAACGCACGTAAAGCAAACCTTTTGAAGCGATTGATGGAGAGCGAATTTGTAGTACTTCACCAGAGTCTTGAATACGGGTCTCGAATAGACAACAAACGTCTATATTAAGACTTTCTAAAGGTATAGACAGCCCTATCTGTTATCCGATCTACATTAGTGTGCGAACGTTGAAGAAAGTTAGTTTGAATGGTGCACGTGGTTTCAGCATTCAATTTTCAACCAATCAGTGACTCGAGATCGTTTAGATAGAACAGTTTCCACCATAGGCGAGCTGCTGTATAAGTTGAAAAAAAGATACACAAAGTGGGAGTAAAAGAGAGGGAATAAGTGACGTAGTAAGTAATAATAATAATATGAATTGTTTGATTTTCAATCGAAGCGTGAATATTATTTCCGGTGAATATCGTCATTTCATTTTATGGATACATTTTACTTCATTCTATAAATAGGGTGCTTTGTTTAGGATAATCCGTTGACTTTATTGGTTCGTAGAATATGCTGATCTCTAGTAGTATGAACAGTCAGCTGCTTCTTCAACATACCTGATATGCATCAGTACATTCCTTTTGTAGGGCAACTTACTGTTGCTTATATTTATGTACACGAAGAAAAGTTCTTAATTCGTACTGCACTGAAACTATACGGTAGTTTTTGAAGTTTGTCACTCCTATTCCGGTACATTTTAAAACATCATAAACATAAAGAGATGACGTCTGCTTAAGCTATCTGTATTTATGTATACCGTATATTAGTTACTGTACAAAATTACTATAAAATTTGTAATGACTGTTTGTAAAGCTTCGTAAAAGAATAACTAAAAACAAGTGTCACATAAATTCCCAGTTAACCACGAAGAGTCAATGTATTTCATTTAATAGCAAACTTAATTTATTTGTATTAGTGTTTTGGTCTTATTCGCATCGTTAATTTCGTCATGTGGTCAGTAGATTATGCAAGATCCCACATCTATAAACCTACAGTCAACACCGGAGATTAAGATAAGTAATCCTAATTATTTTTTAATATGTTCAAACTTAGGACTCACTTGATAATATGACTAAAATATAATACGTGCACAACCACAAATAATAAGTTTTCAGCACATAACTGTGACATTTTTAAGAACAAGGTAAGACAACTGTCATTTATGAATCACAGAAAATTTCGGGAAAATTAGTGTCACAATACAACTGTTCTTAGCAGGTAGTCATTTTAAGAACCATACAAACTCAACGAAGATTAGACACCCAAGTTTCACATTGATCTCTTATTGTCCCTCATCAACGCAATGTAATTCTGAATAGATATCAAATACAATCATTCAGACAAAATAAGCTCACTGATAACATAGGACTAACTGCAAGATTGGTCTGAATTATTTTACATTTGATCCTAGTGGAAGTTTTATGCATTACTTAGCTATATTCGCACATTTGGAATCGTGATAACTAAGTACCAGTAACTCATAATTTTTTCGACCAACAGACCATTCGTTGCTCGATGAAAAATTAGATTCAATGCCATTAGTTGGATGTCCCTGGGAATGAAATTAAACTTGTTTTCATATCGATTTCATCTTGGGGGATACGTAAGATGAGGTCACTACAAGTCTACAGTTACAAGTGATGTAATGTTGAGATGTTGATTAAAGCAAATTTGGTTCATGGATCTAACGTTTATGTGAAACGGGATAATAATTAGAATTACGTGTAAATTTTAGTCATAATTGGTAAACAGTCCAATATCTTACTAATTTAGAGTTTAGAATCTCGATAACTAGGTGACGTGATTAGCTAAATAAGCAGATAACGGACTCATGACTAGCTGGTTCACGTTCCACGCTTTCCTTCCCTGTCCTCTAAATTTATCACAATACTGGGACACCTGTATATTTTTACTACAATCATTGTACAAAAATGTGTCGAAAAACAAAAACATTGGCCACAGAACTATGAAAATGGTGAGAAAATATTAATATATACAAAAAAGTAATCCACGAAGAATTGTGATTGCTAGTGGTGATAGCGTGGATAAGAAGTTCCCGGATGCCCCATATGACCAGGTGGGAGATTTCTCATTGGTTGTTGTTGCTGAAATAGAAAAAAACAGCCATAAGTGATATAGAATAACACATGTACAGGCTTTATGAAAATGTTCAGGGACACAGTTCTCCGAGATCAATATAAAGGAGAACTTAGCTTTAAGCTATTTATACTATGGATCAACAAACAATGAACAACACATTGATGATTAGATAAATAAACCTCATGTGTTCGATAATATTGTCTCTGTATAAATTGTATGTGCTGTTAAAAAAACTGGGTCAGTGATATCGACTTAGTAAATTTTAATATAAAAAATTTTAAACACGAGACCGAATATCCATCAATTGAGATAGGAATGTCATGTAGCACATACAAATGAGTGCATTCTCTGAAATTTGCTTTGCAAAATAATATCCCGTGCTCGGGCATTGCAAATAGGTGTAGGATTTCTGATAAAGACCTTCGATAGATTCATGATATGACTAACAGTCGATCGCAAAAGCCTAGATTTATTTACATAGAAAGCATACATATATTTAAATAGTTAGATAAGAAAACATTCAAAACAAACATATAACAACGAACAACCACAAATTACCAGATTCGCATAACCTGAAGTGGTAGTAGTAGTAGTAGTGGGATTAGATAACTGTTGAGACTGTCCTGTTATACTGGGTTTATTTGTGTTTGTATGTAAGATTCCACTAGTATTAACTGTTGTAGATGATGATGTTGTCGAGGAGGATGGTAATGGCGGTGGTGCGATCGGTGTTTCATTATTCCCCTGGGATAACCGAATACGCTTATTAGATGGTATATCATCATTATTATTCTACAAGGGAATATACATTTATAGTGAAAACAAGTTTATTGAATTCATATATATATGCACAAAATAACTTAGGCTAATTAACTAGATTTCATGATGTATATGAAGTTGAACGATAGATTAATATCAGAATAGCGGTTGTGGAGATTATTAAGTTTTTGGTTGAGATCATGAATCGATTGATGTTAGACCACCGTTGGAAACCTGGAAGCACTGGACGGCCATTTCGTCCTGTTACGGGACTCCTCAGCAGTGCGCATCCACGATCCCGCATTATGCTTTCAACCAATTGACTTGAAATTTAAATCTTAGTTTAACTTTTTCGATAAGGCTGTAACTGAGTAGTATAGTACGACTATTACCCAATCCAACTGATGGTAACTGTTTTGCTTTCGACATGGTTGAAATTTACCAAACGTAAATACTTATTGGGACTTTGAAGCTGGTCACGAATTAGCACACAATTACAGTTTAATTGAATAGTTCGTGGTTTCTAAATCTGAGGCTTAAAAGTATCGCGAACGCCAAGAGGTCTGAAAGTTTAGGGGTCAATCCTGTGAAGCGTCGTAAGTGTGTAAAGCCGGGGAGTCTCATATTGCAGAGCGTGCTACTTATACGGACAGATATAAGTAGTATGTATCAGGAAGTGGAAATAGAATTCTTACTGACAGAAGAGGAAAATGAAGAGAAGAGAAGGAAGAAAAGAAAACAACCCAAATAAAAATGTGAAAGGAAGAATGATATAGTTTGTCAAGGACAATTCAAGGAAGACGCGCAAATATTGTGTTTAATGGATCGTTTTCATATTTTACGAAGACACTGTAATCCTTTGCCCAAGTCTCCGTTCATTACAATACTAGGACTGTGGTGTATACTACTTATTTCGACATAAGTATTGTATCATATCAATCAGAAGTGGAATACGTGGCAGTGCTGGCTACAGCAGTTGCTGTCGACCGAGAGGAGCAATGGAACGTATGGCTGCTGGGTAGACATTAGATTTTGATGATCCGGCCGGTCAACTGAACTACGAAGGTCAGCGCCACAGACTCGACATTTTTACGGCGAACGCGGCATAGACTGTAGTAAAGAAAGCGGCGCGGTGAGCAGAACAACCGCAACAACGACTGTTTAAAAAGGACGAGTGTGAGGCAGGCAATGGGGTGAAGTTTAAATTCACTTGGTATTGTTTACTTGAATCTTCCCAAGCAAGTAGCTATCAGAACTCAGTAGCTAAGTGGATAACGCAATGGCGTTTGAAGCGAACGGTACTGAGTTCTAGTTCCGGAGTGAGCATCAACCCTGAGACGCAAGTACATCCATCTGACGAGTCCCAAATAGGACGAAACGCGCGTCCTAGACTCCACTACTAGCCACTATCCATCTGTGCGTACAATTATCTTCACTAAAAATATACAATTATTATTTTGAAAGAAATCATTAGCATATGCTTCGTTTAATGTACTTCATTCAATGACTGTCTACTGTTAAAGTGACTAAAATGTTAAAACAATACAAGAGAAGATAGAGAACATTTGTAGTTCAAGACGAAAGGAGTTAGAGGGCATTGTGATCTCTGAGTTGATAGATGGTTTTGGTTGTGAAGGTTTTATTGTTCTACTCTTTGAAAGACATCATCAGTACGTACCTTAATTAAAAATGAGCTACTAGAATTTATTCACAATTGTGAAAAAATTCTCATAGCTTAACCAAATCAAAACAGCGTAGAAACTACAACACCTTCAAATACAAGGGGTGTGACATGTGTACCACTAAAACCAAGGCATTACCTGATCATAGTTATGTATCGAACGAAATAAAGAATGATGAATTTAATTGATCTTATTTTTCAGTATGGAGTTATGGAGATTGTCGAATTTCAATTGAAATCGTGAGCCTATCTAAGTTAGGCAGTTACGCACTGGAGATAATGGAAGATGGTCGCACTATCATGGATTGATCGAAGCTAAACATTAACACCGTTTGATGCCGGCTTAGTGGCCCAGTGGTTAAGCATTCACGTGCGAGACAGAAGATCCTGGGTTTGATTCCCGCTGGGGATTCTCATACTATGACGAAACGGTCACCTAGTGCTTACAGGTTTTAAATTGTGGTCTAACATGATTTTAATTGATCTTCAATTATTAACCGTTATACAGTAGATTTTCACATGATAAGAAATAAGCAAAAAGAAAACAACATATGTCAACCGATACTGACCTGTTGATGAATTAATTGTCTTGTATGGGGATTAGATTGACCAGAGTTCATGTGTTGTTGCTGTTGCTGTGTATTCAGTGGCGGTGGCTGTCCATTTGTTCTCTGTTGTTGCTGAGGCAATGGCAACTGGGGTTGTGGAGCATTATTTCCACGCTGTTGTTGTTGTTGAGATTGTTGCTGAGGATGTGTAGTATGTATTCCACTGCCACCAGTAGGATGTGCTGTAGTTTGTCTTCCTCCAGTAGCGTTTGGTTGTTGTCCAGTTTGTGTGACATTTTTATCTGCACCAGTTTGTTTATCATCAGAATCATCATCAGAGATAAATTCTCGTTTAGGATAAGGTATAGGTAAATTTCCAAAAACACTATAATATTTGATAAAAACAAATCAATAACAAACTGAAATGAGAATATAAAATGTATGGAATATAGCTAGCAGTCAAATCTAGGATGCGCGTTTCGTCTTACTAGGGACTCGTCAGATGGATGTACACGCGCCCGAGTTGGCGTTTACTTCAAGAACAGGATGCCTACATGCCAACTAAGACTCATCAAAGTATTAACAGCCAGACAATTCGAACCATTACGAATTCGGCTAAAATTCCTGCTCGTTCCACAAGTGAATGGCTATCTGGACCCAGTAGATAAGTGGATAACGCGATGGTGTTTTGAGCGAACGGTACTGGGTTCGAGTCCCAGAGTGGACACCAACTCTGAGACGTAGTTGCGTCCAGCTGACGAGTCCCAAATCGGACGAAACACGAGTTTAGGATTCCACTCCTAGCTAGATTCTATCTATTCTACATCAATTTATGTTATAATGACCATATCGAGACAATCTACACAAGATGTCCATATCCCAACGAAGACTGAACGGATTTCAGTCAAAAATATCAACAACGGGATAATTTAAACCAATTCAAATTGAACTAAAATGATAATACACGAACTTGTTATGATAATTGCCTAGAAAAAAATATGTGATGCAATTATAGAATAAGGTAGGATATTTAGCAACAAGATACTAGACTATGTACAACACCTCTGTTGTCTTTTAGTTACAGGTACTACGAAAGATGAATCTTGTTAAGATTGATTGGAAGAGACTAAGGTTTATATCGAAGTTGATACAGTAACATATAAATTCAATTATTATTAATGACAAAGTCTTATCAACTCAGTAATTTAGACCAAACCAAATAGTAGTGAAATATTACTATGAATCAAATAGCTAACTCCATACTCTCAAATAAAATACTCGAACACAATTGGTCGAGTGAGAGCTTATGGCGAACTGTCATCAGAATTGATTACCTTAAGTGGTGTTAGTCAGGGCTGTCCACTCTCTACATTCTTGTTTAACTTTGTCATTGACGTGCTTTTAGAGATAACACTTTCCTCATCTGAATTTTCAGGAGTTGAACTTCTACCGAGAGATTCACTTTTTGACCTAGAATATGCCAATGACAAAATGCAGTCTTCTGACCACTCTAAGCAACAATGCAAGCATGTTCGGGATGCGATTCTCACGATCGAAATGCAAAATGTTACTTCACGATTGGGTTGCATCGACACCCGAACTAATGACAGGGGGTGAAGTAGTTGAGCGTGTCGACCGCTTTACTTATCTGGGAAGCCTCATCAGCCCTTGTGGTTTGGTGTGTGACGAAATCTCAGCACGGATACAAAAGGCTCGGCTAGCTTTTGCCAACTTGAGTCATTTATGGCGTAGGCGAGATATCCGTCTACCAAACAAAGGACGGGTTTAATGCACAGTAGTTCGTTCTGTCCTACTTTATGGCTGTGAAACGGCCGGCAAGAGTAGAGGATATTCGTAGGTTACTAGTATTTGATCATAGATGTCTTCGAAACACTGCTAGTATATCCTGGGACCACCAGATAAGTAACGCAGTTGTTAGGGAACGGGTACTAGGTAAGGATGGCAAATCAATTGACGACGTAGTGAAACTTCATCAGTTGAGATGACTGGAACGTATATTACGTATGCCCAACCACCGACTGCCCCGACGTGTGATATTTCATTGTGTAGGAGTAGGTTGGAAGAAAGTTAGGGGCGACCAGACCAAAACATGACACAAGTCCATGAAGTCACTGACAAGTGGACTGAGCCACGTTGGTAGGTACAGACTACCTGGTTGGGGACCGCGAGATGATAGCAACCGATGGTTAGACCCCGAATGACATGGCTCAAAATCGTTTGCAATGGTGCAGGTGCATCCACTCTTTGTGTTCTCCCAACTTCTAATCTTCTGAATTCTTCATGCCCCTTATTTTCTTTCCAAATTTATTTCACTGTATTATACTCTTTAAATAACATCTTCAAACCCTAGTGTTTCCGATTACTGCTCATAATTTTACTACCTCTACCAGTACAGGATTTGAATCGACACCTGCATCTCTGTACTAGTATGGTATGGCAACTTGAACTGATGTACGTACGTACGAAGTTCTATGTTGTTACTGACTGACTGAAAAATACATTGGAAGTTAGTGAATAGAAATCGGGAAAATGCATTTAAACCAACTGAACGAAAATCTCTCTAAATTAATATACAGGCAGAGCACCCCTAACAAATTAATATTAAATTTAAGCGTAGACCTCATTACAGGTTAACCTGTCGCGTACTTGAATCCTACGAGGAAAATCAGTTCCTTTGAGATTTCAGGTAGGCCTTACTGACAATTACTAACTAGAATAAAACCTAGATTGAACAGGATCTCCCCACAACTACCTCCAACCACTTAACAATTTAACTTCCTTTTGAAAAATCATAAATCTCTTATCTCAATAATTAACGTCTACACAGTTGAAATTACGAACTGATCTTAGTGAGACCACCATTGAAAATCTGGAAGTACTGGCGGGTCGTTTCGTTTTAAAATGGGACTTCTCAACAGGGTGTATCTATGACCTGGAACAACCGTCCAGTGTCTCCAAGATTTCTTAGTTCGTGATTTCAACAGTGAGGATACCACAATCTCCACAACTTCGTACCAGTTAATATTTAGACAAAATTGACATGTTTTTAAAATATAGATAAATTGATTACTGAAGTATATTTTTAAAGTGTCATACGATTGGAGTGAATAGCTCGATGGTGAATAGAAAAAAACAATTTAAAGGAGTATAACTTTCTAGGAAGTTAAGTAATTTATAAACCTGATAACAGACTCAGGTCAACCAATAAAACCTTAGTTACTATCCATAATTCGATCAGTATATCTATTTATTTTGATACTAAGTAATCTATTTGAACAGAGTTCATTGTTCAAAAGTTAGTTTTTAATACGATAATAACCTGTACAACCATATACTTACAATTATTTATTTATTTATTATTTATTAGAACACATAAATATTGGTACAAGAGGGCAGCAAATATATATGCGCCACACCATATTTGTGTGTGTGTGGGCTGTGATACTGCCCGGGTGCCCAAACCGAAACAGGTGATTTTCTTAGGAAGCCACACCCGGAGCCTTCAATCTAAAGGTCTGATCTATAAGGCAGTGGAGCAATGTCAGGAGATGCAGTCCCATGGTAGCAGGTGATCAATAAATGGTTCATACGCTATTTGTTCTCCCAGGATCCTGGAGCCCATGTGTACAATTGATTGGAATCAAGGTCTTCCAACTCCCTCCGGTGGATTCTCCATATCCACTGACTTGGTTAAAGTGCCGGACATTCGCTTTTCGTCCTTTCAATTTCGTAAACAACACCCCCGCCGCGAGAGGGCAGTGAGTAGCACTTCCCTGACAGTGGTTGTATGCATGTGGTCATGTGAGAGCATTTCGAGAGGGAGAGCTGACTTTTCCCACCATCGGCTGTACCAGAGCATTTGGGGACTCAAAGTATGTAAACTTTAACTGTAGAATAACAATTTAATGCAAAGAAAAAAAACGCACTTACTCATTATTTGGTTTTTCACCTTCTTTGAAGTAAGAATCTTCCATAGCCTCAGCAGCAGATAAACGTTTAACGGGATCCATAGTTAACAAACGTCTGAGCTTAGAGAATGTACATATGATCAAAAAATTATTACAGATTTGTATCAGAATGACGGTTGGTGGGGATCATAGTAATTTAAGAGTTGAATCTATGAGTCGATTTAGGCTAGACCACCATTGATGCCTGATCAGTAGTCTAAAGGTTAAGCGTTCGCGTGCGAGATCGAAGGTCCTAGGTTTGAGTCCCACGTGTGGGATCGTGGATACACACTGCTCAGGAGTCCCACACTAGGATAAAAAGGCCGTCCAGTGCTTCCAGGTTTTTAAAGGTGGTTTAGCTTAGATTAACTCATGAATTTAACTATTAAATTATTAAAGATTTCCTGATATCATGTCAAAATTAAGATGTATCATTATCCCTTTCATTTCTTTTTTTTTCACAGTGAAAGTACAGCTATTCAGTAGATTTTATTGATACAGACAATGAACTTATTTGAGTTGGGGGTAATGTTTAGAAACCTATGGTAAACATCTTAGAAATGTCACCAACAGTGTCTAGAAAAATTATTTACGTTTGATTTTTACTTACAAAATATTAATTTTCATGGTAAAAGTATTTAATGTTCTGTATTCAGAAGTAATCAGAAAGAATCTTTAGACTAAATCTACTAGTCTGGGATTTGGACTGACAATTTCATTTTTCTGTGATAACAGGGTATGGCAATTTGAACTGCAGTACATATGTACCAAGGTTTACGTTGTGACTGACTGAAATATTATGCTGCTTGATGCTCGTCTGTGAAGCCCATCTACAACATATATTAATATACGTAGACAGTAAGGAACTAATCAGACCATATAGTAGGGTTTTCTGTACGCTAATTGCTTAAGCAATGGATAGCAATCTTATTTATCTAAAATCACGTCTTAAAGCGGCAAGTCTAAGTCACTGAAAATCAGCGCAACAACTTTTCCGTAAGTAGTTTCTATTTTACAGTTACTTATTACTGAGGGAAATTTTGACGAAGGAAACTGTATCAGTCTTGACTGTGATTATTTTAACTGTATAGAATGAACCAACGAAACACCGTCCGTGGATCGTTATGTTTGGCAGAAAACATACGTGGCTACAGATAAGTACCATGGTGAAGGAAGTTCACTGAACTAAATAGATGAATAGGTTGTGATAGAGCAATTTCAAAAACCTACCTTAAATTCAGAACCGTAAGTAAATCGGTCTTACAATTCTGTTTGGTAAATGCTAGTATTCTGGTAGTGAATATGGGCCAAGTGTCAATTATAGGATAAAGGACAATATGCACGTACAAAGTATAGAATGTATTTAATACCCTAAAAGTAGTGGAAATGTCCAAATTTTTCTAAGGGGACTTAGTACATGCCTGAATAACCACTAATAGCAAGTAAACCAGAATGACGAGTGAATTGAAGCTATGTATGTCATAAAATCAATCAGTCAGTCAGTCAGCTACAACGTCGGACCAGGCACATTTATGCATCGGTCCAAGTTGCCATACCTCATTAACACAACAAGATGGACACCGGATTCATAAAAGTAATTAATTCAGAGGTGGTAATATATAAAAGAAAGATTGCAATAAGGATACAGTACAGGCAGAAAGAATTAGTTCGTAGGAAGAAAGATATGAAGCGATTTTAATCTCTTAGTTTAATAGAAGACAGTAAGTGAATACACCGACGCCATTGTGATCGATTTTGAGCCATGTGACCAAGAGTCTCCAACCATTGGTTACGACAGTCACGCGGACCCCAACCAGGTAATCTGCATCTACCAACATGGCTCAGACTAGAAGCTAGTGACTTCAAGCACTGATGCCACGTTTTGGTTTGGCCGCCCCTAACTTTCTTCCAACCATCCCGAACGCCGGTTAGCATTGCACGTCGTGGTAATCTGTGTTTGGGCATACGTAACACGTGGCCCAACCATCTCAGTCGATGAAGATTCACAACCTCATCAACTGATTTACCATCATTCCCTAATACCCTGGTGTCTAACCTCACTATTACTTACCCGGTGATCCCAGCAGACGGCAGCAATATTTCTGAAGCATCTGTGGTCAAATACTAATAGCTTACGAGTGTCTTCTACTCTTAATGGCCATGTTTCGCTGCCGTAAATTAAAACAGAACGGACTGCTGCGCAGTGTACCCGTCCTTTTATTGATAGACGGATATCTTGCCTTCGCCATAGGTGACGTAAGTTGGCAAAAGCCAAGCGAGCTTTTCAAATCCGTGCTGAGATTTCGTCAGACACCAACCCATTAGGTTTGATCAGACTTCCCAGATAAGTGAAGTTGTCGACGCGTTCGACTACTTCCCTCCCTATCCTTAGTTCAGGTGTTGACGCAGACCAGTCCTGAAGCAGCAGCTTGCATTTAGAGGGAGAGAAGCGCATTCCAAACATTCTGGCATTGTTGCTCAGTGCTACCAAAAGACTCTGCATTTTGTCAGCGTCTTCACCAAACAGGACTATATCATCTGCGTATTCTAAGTCGGTAAGTGGACCTCCTGGATGGAGATCAATACCCGAGAATTCAGTCGACGAGAGTGTTATTTCCATCAATAGGTCTATGATGAAGTTAAACAAAAATGGAGAAAGCGGACAGCCTTGACGGACACCACTTGAAGTTGCAAAAGTAGATGACAGTTCGCCATAAGCCCTGACTCGACTAGTAGTGTTCGAGTAAAGAGCCTTCACAAGGTTTATGTACTTCTGAGGTACGCCTTTCAATGACAGACACTGCCACAGAGTCTCGCGGTCTACAGAATCAAATGCTGCTTTTAAGTCAAGAAAGACCACCATCGTCGGACGTCGATAGGTATGCCTGTGTTCTAGAACCTGACGAATGGTCAATATGTGGTCGATGCAGCCACGACCAGGTCTGAAGCCAGCTTGATTCTCTCGTGTTTGCAGTTCACGAGTCTTAGTTAAGCGTCTGATAATTATCGAGGCTAGTATTTTAGATACTATATTAGTCAAACTAATCCATCTATGGTTGTCACAGGATGATTTTAACCCTCTTTTATATATTGGGACGATAAGTGATTGTGACCAGTTAGATGGGATAACGTCTAACTCCCAGATCTTATTTAAGATATTAGTCAACCTAATCGCTAAAATTGAACCACCATCCTTAAATACCTCTGGAGTCAATCCATCTGGACCAGCTGCCCTTCCTCGTTTCAGATTAACTATAGCCTTTTCAACTTCTGCTAGAGTTGTGGGACCTACTTCAATGTTCCATTCACACTGTCTGGGAATGGAGGGTAGTTGTAGGGTAGCTGGAGACCAGCTGAACTGTTCTCTGAAATGTTCCGCCCATCGTTCTAAACGTCTGGACTGAGAGCAGATGAGGGTGTCGTATTTTTCCGAAATAGTCTGACTTACACTTGATTTATTAATTCCAGTTTCTTTAATTAGTCTGTAGAGCTGTCTTGTGTTCCCTATAGTCGCCGCCTTTTCCATCTCTTTTGCTTTCGTTGCCCACCACTGCTCACGGTCGTTCCTTAGACTTTTGCCTAACCTAGATCTGATTTGTTTTCGCTCTTCATCGTGTTCAGAGCCTAATGGGATGAGTTTACGAGAATCCATCAGTGCAATAGACCTTGAGGAAATCCATTAGTTCTTTGTAACCCTGTGGTTTAAATCACTGATAGATGTCACTGCTGTTTCCACAGATGTTTGTATAGCTTTCCAAGCAACATCTGGGTCAGCCTCGTCTTCAGAACTACCTAAGTGTGACCTCAGTTGTTCCTGGAACCTACTTCTGGTTTTCTCGCTACTCAATTCAGTTCTAATGGGTCTTTTTACTGTGGCTTTTTTGCGTCCAGTGAGGCGCAAGCAGATGCGTGCCCGTATTAGGGCATGGTCGGAGTCCAAGCAGGTACTCCAGAATGAGCAACAATCTTCTACCGACCCTCTCCCACGATGACTGATGGCAATATGGTCTATTTGAGTCCATCGTTGGTTTGGTGCAGGGGGTCGCCATGTTAGACGATGTCCTAAAAATAAACGATTGTCTGTGCATAGTTGCAGCAAACGATCACCATTATCTGTTCGCTGTGTCGGAATACCAAAATATCCACCTAAATGCCTTTCTGTTTGGTTTAAACTACCTGCTACGAGTACTATGTCTGAACGTTTAGCTTTCTGAAGAAGTTCAGATAGCTTTCTGTAAAATTCATCTTTCACTTCATCTGAGCTACAGTCAATGGGAGCGTAGGCAGAAACGACAAAAAGGCAACGACGTGTGTCCCTATCCTTCCGAGTTCTTACGGAGCCGTTTAGCCGAACAGCACATAAACGAATGTTAACGGGGGATCCACTCTAACAGTGCTTGTCCCGCCCTCATGTTTAGTGCTATCCCTACTCCTGCCAGTCCACGAGAGCTGGTCGACGGGTCACCAGATACACGGAGGGTGTATCTCGTTGGCTCTCCGTTTTGCCGAGGTGAGGTCAAGTGAATGACCACACTGGAATCCTGTATGCGTGTTTCAGAGACACAGCATACATCAATGGTACGAGATTCTAGGGTTCTAGCCAAGGAAGCCTGTTGACCGATTTGACATAGGGTGCGTACGTTGAAGGCTCCAATGTGTAGTTTGGAGCAAGGTTTCAGTAGACCTGGGACAGTGTTTTGAGCACTAGAATCGTTGGCTATGGTGACACTTGAGAGGGAAGCCAAAAAAGGAAGTTTAGAGGTGAAAGTCGATGTAGGAGGAGTAATAGGAAGTGAAGACTGGGGTTGATTATGAATACAGTGGTCTTGAGTGCTGTTAGAGGTATGAGGGCGCTTATCACTTCCCGGTTGCCCACGCCGTGAAAGGGTTCTTCTGGAGGTACCTGAAAAGGAAATTGGATTACAGGTGGTCTTAGTGACCTGGCAGCGTGACCGCAGTGCCCAAGGGACAACTGCTTGAGGTCGGTCACACACCTTTTTATGGGTAATTTTTGTGTTAGCTCCGTACTTGTTGAGACCTTACCGCCGGAGACGGATATCCGTGGGATAAGGTAAGGTGTGCATTTTTAGGGTCGACCTTTTCTAACCTCACCCCTCCTTGTAGGAAGACAGCATCGCTGCCATGCTGGTTGTCTGAAGGAAACACCTTACTGCTGTAACACCTCTGTACAGTCAGCAGTACGACTTCGCCTTCGGACCTTGGGTTTGTTGCTTTTAGTCTTACTGCTCTTCAACCGACCCGTCTGACATGGTGGGACCTTGAGGAACAGTTGTTCCAGCCAGTATAGCTCGGTTGCTTCATCACAATAGGCAAGCCCGACCACCACGTCAAGGTAGTAACAACGGTCGGGAAATCATGTGATATCATCCTATTGTGGTTAAACGAATGAAAAATGGGTTGAAGAAAGTTCTCAACATCCAACAACCGGATTCCCTTTCAGGTGATACGCCGTGAAATACACTTTTTTTACTTCGAAAGAACAAGTAAATCTGCGATGGGAAGTTGCTTTCACACGTGTTTGCTAGATTCGAATGAAAAGAGATCAAGATAGCTGGATCACCAATCCAAATAATAATAATAATAAACATCAAATAAGGCTAAAATCAATGAAATTGTAAAATAACTTACCAAAGCTAATTCTCTTTCATCCACTTTGAATTTTTTCTCTTCAAAATAACCTTCCAGTGAATATTTACCATAGGTTTTCTTACTTATGGAATCACGTAATAATTGATGATAGTCTGGCATTTTTTTCATATCAACCCAAGCATCATCTGAATCGATCAGAAATAAAAGTAACAAAGAAGCAGACACTTTGATTATACATTAAAGTGATTTCTATTGTAACAGCAGAATAACAATGGATTGCTCTCTCTGGTAAATAAATAATTAATAGACACTATTCATCACAAAGTGGTTTTATTCGTGGTGTCATTGAAAACTAGGAAAAACGGAGTAACTTCTTCGTTCTATTATGAGACTACATAGCCGTGTACATCCTCAAGCACGACAGAGAGTGTTTTGAACAATAAGCTACAGATTCACAAAACCAATAATCAGTGTACTCTGGCTTTAAGTTATTGTTCGACTGAAGTCAGTTCTTGGTGAAAAATTACATCTCAAAAATGTTCAAAAACACAGAATCGTCAAATCAGAAGTTTTCATTTCAGAGGTCGTACTAGGCTGTGGCATATCACTTGATCATTAATGTTTCACCAAATAATAACTTACATACCTGGTGGATATCCCATTACACGAAAAATACGTTCCAGCTGTTCTTTGTGATATGGTGTACTTGTTTTAATATCTTCTTGACGACAATGAAATATAGGTTCATATGTGAGTAATTCTGCAAAAATACATCCAATAGCCCATATATCAATAGCTTTCGTATAATGTCTAGCTCCAAGCAGCAATTCTGGTGCACGATACCAAAATGTTACAACAACTGGATCCAAATCAGCTAATGGCTTCAGTGGTTGATAAAATAGACGAGCAAAACCTAAATCACCTATTTTAACTCGACCTCGATCAGGACCTTCACCCATAACTAAGATGTTTGCAGGTTTCTAGACAAAAATTAAAAAGACAATTATATTATTAAGCAAGTAACAAAAGTAGGGATGTTAAACAGACATCAAAGTGGCTCAAATGTGGGTTCGTCTAAGTTGCCATACCGAACCAGCACGTGGCGGAAACAACAAAACAAATCTAAATAATGTAGTAGAAATAATAAAAGAGGAGAAATTAAACCTTGGGAATATGGTTCGCAAAGAGATTGGAAAAACAATTACGAAAGAGTACTGAAATTCAAGACTGAGAGGAAGATAAAGAGTGAATGCACTGACGATAATTAGAAAGGCTCTGAGCCATATAACCCGTGTCCAGCTACTGATAGTAGTTACCATGCGGACTTCTCACACGAAGTAAGATGCATCCACCAATATAGCTCAGATCAACTGTCAATGAAATGATAAACCGTCAGAGTTATCCGCTTTCCTCACTTTACTTAACTTTGCCATAGATAGTATTTTAGAGATAACGCTTCTGTTCCCAGACTTTTCAAGGACTGATCTCCTTAACAGAAGATTAACTTACCGACTTAAAATACATAAATGACAGCCCTACTTAGTGGAGACGCAGAAAAAAGTCCTTCGATCATCTTAAGCAAAAATTAAAGACTGTTTAAGATGCATTACACTTCCCCTAAATACGAAATTTTGTTTTAGTGGTGTTCTATATTAGTGCGTGAACTGATGATAAGGAGGGTATTGGTAGAGCTTATTTTTGAATTCTCACTAGCCATGATGGTTTCAGTTCTCCTGGGGAGTAGGCGAGATGTCCGTCAGTCAATTGAAGGACAAGTATACTGAGCAGCGTTTCGTTCCGTTGTAATATGTAGATGTGAAACGTGATCTTCAGAAACATATGATATTCATAGGTTATGTGTACTTGAAGAAAGATGGTTTCGAAATATTACTCGCGTATGTTAGTGCCACGGAATGAACAATACTGAAGGAATAGTAGGTAAAGATTGCAAGTTATGAATCTTCATCGGGTGAAATGGTTGAGATATGTACTACGTAAGTCTAGCGATCACCTAGCTCGACGAACAATGTCCGTTTGTGTGGGAGTATATTGAACTAAAGCTTGAAGTGGCAAAACCAAAACGTAACATCAGTCTACTAAATGAGTGAATGTTAGATGAAAATGCGTTAGCAAGTGCGGAATGCCCGGTTAGTGTCCACATGACTGCCGTAACTAATGATTAGAGACGTCCTGTGATATGCCTCAGAATCAGTCGCAATGAGGCAGGCGAATTCCACTGTCTTCTATCAGATCTTGGATCTTGAAATGGTCTACCACAAACGTCTATCTGTGCCCACTAGTTCTTTTGAGAATCTGATTACCATACCACTTAAAAGTAATAATATTCAAAAATCTTTAATTTGAATAACTTTCTAACCAATAACTGATAGGTTTGCAGTGAACGAAGACCAATTCATTGTTTTATGCAAAATTACACAGTGCCTTTGTGAAATATGAAAACTATACACTGAATACATTATTTGCACATCTTTTTTCAGTTGTCCCTTACATACTTCCTCTAATTGTTGTTATTTCAATTTCTCTGTTTCCCCACCTATTCTCTTCGATTCAATTTTATGCTGACAGGTATCCTACTTCTGATTGCTACCATAAACTTCTTATATCTATCAGCGTAGGTAACGTAAACTACACCCGACCCCCCTTTAAACGGTCGCTCTTGCAGTCGTTCTGCTCTCCATGCCGCTTTCCTCTTTATCGCAGTCTGTTCTTCGTTCCTCGTCGAAGTGTCGAGTCCGCCGGCGCGCTGGTCTCCCGGGCTATCTACTTCTAATATCAGCCCGGCACCCAAGACGTTCCACGTCCTCTCGCCGTCGATAGAGAATGCTACACCCAACGCCGCCTCACTGGGCCATTCCACTTGATGTCTGATTCCTGGGCCTGACCGCATCAACTAACGACTCCACTCACGGCCCCACAACGGCGTCCTCAGAACTACCCTCTCTCCGCCTTTCCGTAGGCAGTGACACCAAAAGTAATGAACGAAAACTCATTTGAGAAAACGGATTTATTGTTGAATGCAAAATTACACAGTACTTCTTAAAGTATGAAAATCATATATTAAATACATCATCTGCACATCTTGCTTGAGTTGTCCTTTACATGCCCCACCATTCTTCTAATCCTGTTGTTATTTTGATTGCCCATTGTTTCCATTTCCTCTTTATCTCAGTTTTCTGCAGGTAAGCATTCCACTCCCAAATCCTTCTACATACTACTCATGTCTGTCTGCATAAGTAGCGCACACAACAGGTTGAAGATTTAATATCCAAACAAATGAAATCAGCAGCTCGACGAAAATATTCCACAAAATTTTATACAAAACATTGTTTGGCAAATTATGAAATTGAATCTCATGTTACATTGTTCGGTCTTTCTAAGCGCAGTTGATTTTAATAAGTTAGCAGATACAGTCTCATGAGCAGCGATTACCAAGCCACACCATATCATTTCACATCACTAATTGATTAGCACTCTACTTAACATCCTGTTAATTAAATAATCCCTACAAAATATGAAAACCACCACTAACAGCAGTAAATCCAACCCAACCACCACTTACGCTCACTCAAGTTCACAAGTCCAACAACCGAATAATCTCACTTCTTACAACCGGGTAATTTCACAACAGGTGAGCAATACAACAGAGACAATCACAGTAGAGCACCTGTGTTCTACATTTACAGTTTACTACCAACGGCTATGTCTTATTGGTAGTGCAGTGTGAAATGACAAACCCTTTGATGATGGGGAGCCAAACTCTTTACGGTTCCACTGAAAAGAAAGTGCATTCACAAAATGTCTTTGGGCTGCCGAATATTTCTTTAGACTTGAAAAAAAAACAGACGAAATTATCATTAGAACGTACCAAATCACGATGTAAAATCCAATTGTCATGTAAATAATGGATTCCATTTAATATTTGATACATTAAACTTTTGACCATATTGCCATAGACTTGAACTGTACTTTTATTTGCTTTAGTTGTTCTATGAAATTTTATGATATGCCAAAGATCATGTTCTGCAAAGTCGAATAGCAACCATACTCGCCTAGTTGTATGATTCAGAAAAACTCGTTGTAGAGTAATTACATTTGGATGCTTTAACTCACGAAGAAGCTAAAACATGATACATACAAAATATTTGTCATTGTATTATAATTGAACTTACAGCTATTTCTCGGCACGCAGACATAGATAAGCCAGTGCCTTCGATTTGTTTTAACGCATAATCTCTACTGTCTGTACCATCTTTAAGTTTAGCTTTATAAACACTTCCATATGTTCCACGACCAACTTTACATCCTTCAAAATCAAAAAGATCTTCTACTTTCTCACGAATTTCATTTAGTTTTCGTTTGAATTCCGCATCCACCATGTTATACTTTCAATGCAAATCCGACAAGCTACGAGAAAATATAAACAGTTTAAAATTCCTAACTAGCAGTAAATGAATATACAAAACTGTGAGCAAAACTTGATTTATAAGGGGGAAATAATGCTTCCTGTTAATTAAAATTAACATAGTTATTGTGTTAGTGCACAACGACGGTAATTCAATTTGTGTCAATATCTTGAAACACTCGCTTCGGTGGCTTAGAAGTATACTACGAGTGTCACACCAGAGATTCCCACGTCGCGCATTATTTACCGGTGATGGGGCTAGGTGGAAAATGCAGAGAATTAGCCTGTTTATAACACAGCTTCATGGAGTAAGATAAAGCCATCTAAGACTGGTTTATCACAACTCACTGGTTGAGGTTCTGAACATTGTCCAACATGGCTCTAAATAAGTCAATGGCGATCGCGCTGTAGTCCTTCTTTATATTCGTTACAGAAGGGGTAGTTCTATTAACTGAAGTTTTCTGGTTATACTTTTAACTGCACTTCATTTTCCCCTCTATCTACAATAGTACCTTTTTAATTATATGGTGAACGCCATATTTTGGTCTCAAATTGTACTATAACTTGATGAGTAAGTAAATAAAACAGAAGACACTTAGCACATTACCTAAAATATCTAATCGTAGTAATTACCTCTAGAAAAACTCGTTCACCTACGAGTTCAGACTGCCGATGAGTTTTCTTTTAATCTTTTCTATTCTAAAAAATCCGATAGGAAGGCGTAAGACTGATCATGAAAATTATGTCATCTGGGGTATCTAAAAACATAGAAAGTAATTTAGGGTGTCAGGATCAAATAAAAAGCGATAATTAAATCTATCGAAAAATAATGGATGTGGATTGGGAAAACTAAACTGTAGGATGTACAAGAATATATATACTTAGTTGACAAATAATCACAATTAAATGTAGGTGGCATTCAAACCGAAATCGTTTGAAAATGAAATACCATTTATTTCTGTTTTAGCAATCAAGGTGGTTTGTTTCCTCCCATGTAAAATATTCGGCCCATATTCCATTAGTGATGATCTTGCAGATTTTTTCATCAAGCCATTTATGTGCCCAGTAGTAAGTCTTGAGCATTATCGATCTATTGTACGCGCATATACCAGTAAACCACATATTTCTAAAAAGTAGTAAAAAAACACCAGCACAACCGCCGATTGTCACTTCATTTCAGAACCCTATAGGATTCATCAGTATACCGATGAAAGTTACGATCCTCAATGATAATGTGGATGTGTTTGAGTTGTCCGTTCTTTGACGTTTTTGTGTGTGACGGAAATTTTGGCGAGACTCTAATTTAAGGACTACCTTTGAACGAATCTTAAGTGACCCTGACAATTATTAGCCAATCAGAAGAAAGTCAGTATAAAATGAAAATATATTATATGAAAGTAATGAATTACAGTGGATATTCTCTTGTTACATGATTTAAAAACTTGTTAAGATTTGATTAAGGTTCAGAATTCACAATGCATATGGAATGGAAACTCGTCTATTGGGTTAGGGTTAGGTTTACGGATAAGGATAGGGTTTAGGTTTAGGTGAGGATTTAAGGTTAAGGTTAGGGTTAGGTAAGGGTTTAGGGTTAGTTGAGGGTTAAGTTTTAGGGCTAGGTGAGGGTTTAGGGTTAAAGTTAGGGTTTAGGTTTAGAGTTAGGTGAGGGTTAATGTTATGATGTTAACATACAAGTTTTTAAATCATGTCAAAGAAGAATATCCACTGTAATTTATTACTTTCTTTTAATATATTTTTAATTTATGCTGTCTTCTGATTGACTAATAATTGAAATTGCTCAAACGCTTCTGATTGGCTCGTCCCTAAATTAGTCTCACCGTCTTATCTGTTGTAACTTCTCATTAATCACCTACTCTCCAAAATCCGCTGTGAACCGATCGTATGTTACCTGCGCGTGTTGAACTTGGCTCCGTGACCTTGAAATTGCGCAAGCGCTTCTGATTGGCTCGTCCCTAAATTAAATCTATGTACAAAAACAAATTTTTTGTACATAGATTCACATTTATATTAGGATCTGGTGCAATGAGAAGTAGCCGCAAAAAAAGCTGGCATGGAGTAGCACATTGTTAGATACAGTGAACATTTTTAGTGGCCGCATATATCCAATAAACACATCATAAACTTCTTACTTATGTTTCTTTTCGAGAATTCAACCAAGGATAGTCGTACGTGTCGAGTATTAACACTGACCTTGTATCCTTATTACTACAACGCAGATGTGATTATTACCGTTATTAATCCTGAAAACCGTGACTCAAACCTTACATACTATTCAATCGTCTGATTCATATCGAAAACTTTGGAAACTTGGCGAATGTCAAAAGTAGGTTGAAGTGTGATTTTCAAGACATTTTCTGAGGATAATTTTCTCAGTAACTAGAAGTGGAAAGAAATAACTTGAAGCACTAGATTAAATGATTGTCCATAAACAAGCCACATTACAGTAGCGCACAATTCATACTAATATCCAATCAAGAGCCTGTCCAATACGTTTTTGATGAGCTAGTATTCATTTTCAATTTAACTTCTAGGTATTATTGTAAGTCCTCAAGTCTTTAGTATTTCACGGTGTTGTTATTTTATCCACTTGGTTGTGCCAGTCTTTGTAAAATTGACAGTTAATTGTGAATAATTATTTCCTGGTTATAAATAAATGCATTCATTCTACAGGGTTTGAATTGCTAGATTCTGCAATTATCACAGTTTTGGGAGGGGATTGGTTGATTGCACTATAATAATTCATAAAATAGGAATGAAGAGGAGAGACGTTGACAATCAGAATGCTTTTATCAACGGTAATGATGGTAATAAGAACAACATTAACACTTGTTTTAAAGTACGAGGGTTTTATCATTTCCAACTTTTCCAACTCGAATTTGCTAAGCAGTGGGTGACCATGTTCTTACTGAGACTGCTCTAAAGGATGTCATCGATGGATGAGCACATAAGTTACAGCGTTGGACCCTCACTATCACCTTAAGTCTCTTCGACTTCGTGCGGCCACGTTTAGTCTATTCGCTTATAATAACCACTTATACTAGACCGTATTGATTGTTCTTTTTTTTATTATTATTAGAAGCTTTATTCAACATTATATTTTTGGTACAATATAGAATTCTCAGCATAAAGTATTTCAACAAGTTTCCTTTTCTTATACCTTGATCGATTGTGACGGTAAATTTTGAATGATGACCAGTTAGATGTTAGAAGTTCGGTAATCCACATTTGATTACTGTTCATTTGTTTCAATGCATATTGCCAGCAACCATGATGCCTCTGATTGTACCTTTTTGTATCCCGTATAGCGAAAGGTTGTAAACTTTTCATAAACGCGCCTGAATAGGTTGTGCGCACAATAGACATAGTGATGTGCTAAAACAAACAACAAAACAGATAACTTGATGAAATATCTAGATCGGTGGAACAGGTAGCCCAGATATTCAAGCAGGCCGCGTGTTCACTATACGTATACTCACGCTGTTGAGTTACGGTTCGAAAACAGATAGACTTTACCAAGCCAGATATTTTACATGTTATGACTTTCGCCAAGCCAAAACACTGTGTTCGAAAGTCTAGGAATTAGTTTAGACTCGCGTCTGCGGGAAATCGCCTCCTAACTAGTTTAGAATTAGAATCGACTAGGATACGTGTAACATATGTAGTGACCTACTTTTATCAAGAGAACGCGATTGGTTTAATGGAAACACTTATTATTATCATCAGTCGTACCAGTGATTCTTTTACTGTACTTGTTTGTTTGACTGTGCTACAAGCATTCTTCTTTCCGTTGATTGTGACCTTGCACGCGCTTACGTTTTCTCAGTGATTCCGCTTGTACTCTTTTGGCACAATCTTGGTATCCCTTCGATACCACGAGATCGCTAACAAGTATATGTCGCTACAACCTCCAATCGCCTTCTGATATCTGGTACGCAACCTTCTTTTGTGGTGATCATGGTCAACCGTGATTCGACGCCACACTACAGACAGTTGAAGAAAAAATTGAGTTTGGGAAATTTTAGGCTGGATCAACCACTAGTGAAAAACGTGTGCTTCTCAGTGTTCAAGTGGTTTGTGTAGGACTGTAGAGTTATGGTCTACTATGATATTAGTACTGCTTTTATAAGAGTCCTAATCCTAAAATTGCAGATTTGTCTTGATGTAGCTGCCTAGTCTATAGTATCTTACGTGGAAGTCACACATTTGTCTACACTGACTCATCGTATAGTAACATACCAATGTATACTGGAGAACATATCCAGGTTGGAGATAGAGCAAAGTATTTGATGTAACAGCGAATTGTACGGGGTGATCATGCGTGCGAGGTTGAGCCATGCTGATCTATTCGAATTCCTTCAATTCATTGTCCACGGCTTCTCCATCGTTGGGTTTTTCTCCGCCTTAAATGTTGGATATTTATTTTCCCAGTTGTCTTGTGTTCAGCTTTGATGATTGTGTGGTTAGAGCCCAAAGCCACTACAGGACGTCTCTGTTGGGACAAGTAGGAAAATTCAGAATGTTATGCACCACTGTTAGGTCGTTTCAAAGTCTCCTATAAATTGACCACAGAAATCCACGTTAGCAAGGTGTTTTGTCCCTCAGTTCTATGACCCACGTTTAAGCACGCGTTAGTACTTTTTTCAAGGACTTTATATCCGTTTTCCTGGAAGCTTTGCATCAACTATGAGTGTTGCCAGTAATGGAAGTCTCAGTAAGTTTCTCTTTAAAGCTAGAGGCCAGAATTCGCCTTAGTCACGCTCGACTAAATTTGGTGTGAAATTCTTGGTTCTGTAGGTAGTCTTGGCTAAGTGACAAATGATCCCGTAAATTCCACTTGCTAGAAGTTAGCCAGAGGTACAGAGTGCTGCAACGTATCTAATGACCTGGGAAAGTCCAGAAATAGTGCACGAATATGCATTCTTCAAAGCCCAGCCCATGGTAGACAGCCTCTACTGCAGGACATTCATTTCCTGAAACTATCCCACCCAATAGCTTGTGAACACCCAACAAAACTTCCGATATATTTGAATGTTAGAAGCTCTGTAGCTAGAATCCTTTTGTCTCTCTATTCAAGGAACACAGGGAAAATGGCTATTTTCCTCTGTCTTTAAAAGCTGTAAAATTTTGAGTGTATTGAAAACGGTCTCTTAGGAAATGGTGGACGACTTATGGAGATTTGGAGGTAGATGAATTTGACACCTAATAGGGATAACGTAGGGATAAGTGACAGAAAATTTTTAAAGAGATGAAAACAAGTTGTGTTTAATATTGAGTTTTAATGTCATCCGTACAGAATGTCACCAGCTAAAACGTAATAGTCTTCTCTATAGTTCACACGGTTGGACAGGCGATGTCAAGTTTGCACTTCAAACGACTGGTGTAGGTAATCATGAGTTATAGGAATTGGGCACTATAATTTGCTTAACCGTAACGTAAGCAATTGACATCAAAATAAGTTTTGATGTAAACCAAATGTTTTTATTCAACAAGAAAATGGATTTAGGGAAACGATTTCAGTTATTCCTATACCGTTCTTGATATCAAGAAGGCGAACTGTGTATGACGGAATCCATTACAATGAAAAGCCACAAACATTTGAATACAAAACATTAGTATTTTGTTAAATGTCTTTTCTTTTCTGTAGACTAACTGTTAAACAGCAGACGATACTGAACTAAGCTAACACAAACGCGACTAGGTAGGGTGAATAAGTGAACGTCATTACATGAATGCTTAGTGTTTTCACACAAACCAATACCATCTATACATGTGGTCCATTTACATAACCCTTTCTGAGATCTTAAGTGAGGATAGATGGATACTAATCATGAAAGTGTACTTCACTCATTCGATATTTTTATCTTACGAATAAACCCCGAGCAGTAGTTAGTTTCATCTGCCACAAATAGGTCACCAGCTCATTGTGAGTTGCGGAAATCGATGATCAGCTGATTATATACAGTTCATGTTCAATCTGTAGTGCTTAGTCTCATTTTCGCATATTAACGTAATCAGTAACAATTATCGAAAAGATCAACCTGGTTTTCGAAAGCTCTGGTGAAAGCATATTAAAGAGCTGTTCAGATCTATCTTTGAATAACATACAAGAATTATAGTCATTGATAGGGACATGTTTACTGGACGTTACTTAAATTGTCACGACTTGAAGTGTTCGAGTTACGTTCGGTATAATAATCCACGATTACAAGTAGTCAATAATTCCACTAAAGATTTCTATAATTTGAGCTGTATATCCAGATGAAGTATATAATGAGAATATGGCAGTGGCCTTTAAATGTAGATAAAAAAACATTAGAGGTCAGTTATCATGACAACAGAAAATCGAGAATCAGAAATATATGTGTGTATCAGTGTATTTATGAGCGGTTATTAGTGTGTCGTTCTATTAGGGGTTCAAAACGGAGAAGGAAAAATCAAGGTCATGAGTTTTTAAACAACTATTTTACAGTCACTCATAGTAAATTTACAAATTATGGGAATTAATGAAAGAAATGCAAATAGTATAAAAAGCTAATTATAAAATAAGCTTGTCGTAACTATCTCCACATGTCTACGGTGAACTTTTGTTGCTTGGCCTTGTGGTGGTCGGTATTCGATATAATCTTTAAACTTCGTATACAGCTCGCCTTGATAACCGTTCTACATAACGTCCCAACGGTATATTAATCAGAAGGCAAATACGAAGTGTTGATTACGTTTATTACGAGACCACACACATATATCCAAATGTACAGATGCGTTAAGTAAGCATAGAAGAGTTGTGCCGAAAGGCAAGCAAGCGAGCGAGAGCCATAGCAATAGCGAGACCAGAGTGTGTGAGTGAGTGAGTATGAATAACACGGACATATATATAGCATGTGAAATGAATGAGTAATCGAATCAAATAATCAGTTAGTAGTAAGACTAGCAGAGTGAATAAATGCGTAGACCGTAAGCAATATTCAAGCATACGTATTTCGTACAAGCACAAAATAATAAGGGTACAATAAGTTGTTATAGTGCGGATGACTTTGTCCGCTAAATGAGTTAGCAAAAGGGCTTAACTGCGTTAGATGAGACTAAACTCATTTGCACGTGAGTCGCTATAGCCTGATTCATTGAGACAGTGTTTATTCCATTTCATTGAGAATATTCCTGTTGATTTTAATGTACGTAAATTTTGTATTTAATGAAAACGTTTGCTGTATAGCTCGTTATTTTGTAACACGTAAAAGTTTGATTGTTGGAGTATTTCGAATTTTTTGATATTTGTTGCTATTTGATGGTACCACAGATGTGTAACCACAATAGTACTTTACAATAGTTATGACCATGGGCTGTGAATGACTCAATGAAACTTCGTACCGTATACAGAAAAACGACGTGGTCAGGCTAAGTCAGACTGATTTTGGTTTTTTTAGATCATTTTCTGCTTCCAGATAAAATACTTGAATTTTGGTGGTTGCAATAAGTCATTTTTTTGGTTTTGTGAATGTACCTGAGGATGACTACTTGTATTAGTTGAACGTTCAGATGGATTTATTTAAAAAGAATGTTTCACTTGGAATAAATGGATTAACAGAAAGATAATTATCATCTTAATTTGTTATTCAGTTATATTGTGGTGTGCGCTACCGATGTCAACAGATATAAGTAGTATATATAATCAATCGAACGTGAAATAACTGGAGGCAGAAGGTTATGAAGATCAAAGAAAAGAGAACGAGAACAGAGGACGATTGCTGTCGAAATCAAGGAATAGTAAAGTCTGAGACGACTGATTAACATTTTTCAAATGAAATATTTAGTGTATGTTTCTCAGATTTTACTAAGATGACCTGTAATTTTCTATCCCAATACATTCGATTTTCCCCATTTGTGTTCTCATTCACTACACCATTTGTAAGATACTATCAAACTTAGTCTCTACAGGGGACAACTTGTTACCAATGTTTTATTAAAAATCAGGGCTTCAACAACGAATATGCTGAAAATAATAATAATACAATCAAGGTAAAGTTCATTATAGTTGAAAAGATTACATTTATATCTATTGTTCTATTATAATTTAAAGTGTCAGTCAATTTATTCATGAACAGTAATTCGATTGTGATAGAAATTTCTGTCAACAACGTTGTGGATTGCTTTAAATTCATCGACTTAAATTAAATAAGTAACCAAGTAATAATCAACTAAAAAAATCATTCGATTTAAATGATGATAATCAGTGAATAGGTAATAAGGATTTATATGTAAACCAATATATTATACTGTAGTGAACGAGAACACAAGTAGGGACAATAGAATATATTGGAATAGAAAATTACAGTACACCTTAGTAAAATCTGAGTACCATAAAATAAATACTTCATTTGTAAAGTGTCATCCATACGGCTACAGAATAGTCGGCCTCTGGAGTCACGATAGTCACAAATACTCTTTCAGCCTCGAACACATAGCTTCAAAATTGTTTATGTGCACTCCGGTTGTTGAGTGCACAAAATGCCACTTGTGGATAGCGATAAGGTGCACATAACCAAGTCTATGTAGGAGTCTATTCTCTCTACAAACATCTGTATATATTGTAGTACCTGGTTGCAGCCAATGTTACTGGTGATTTTACTATCCAGTTCGCGATAATTATCACAATTTACTTCAGTTATGAATAATATATGGGGTTTTCATCACGAACTGACATCAGCTATAATGCCAGAAATTTATTTAGCCAAATGGATGAAAGGCTTTCGTGTTCAAATCTGAGATATATTATCTTATACCTGATTGATTCGTCTACAAATTATAGTCTCGCCGATTTATTTGTTATAGCCGCTCAATTATCAGGTTTTGTAGAAAATTCTTTGTGAATCCATCGTACGTTAGCATTAAGCACTGAAGTTGGCGCCATAACCTTGAAATCCTTCAGACGCCTCTGATTGGCTCTTCCATAAATTAGAGTCTCGCCCTGAAATCTATTATTAAATTGTTAAAATTCCAAATAATATCGGATAACTGTTTTATTCAAATTCATAATTCGTTAATATTGTACACTTAACAATTTGCAAAAGATTAAACATCAACACTTTTAGATCTTGCTTATGTCAATAACAAGAAATTCAGATCATTCATTTCAATTAGTCATTAGAAAGTTACTAGTTTATTTTTAGTTAATCTAATTCCATAACTAATAACTTAATTTATGTTAGTCATTATTGAACCATTCAAGATTACAAATCTGTATAAACAATATGCATCATAAGACAATCTTTTTGTTTTAAAAAAAAGAAAAGCAGGTCAACAAAAATGTTTGTTAAAATAAAGTAAGAATGAATATTAGTACCCTAGAGATAAATATTTACTGGAAATCTTTTATAACGAACATAAGTAAAATATGAAATCAATTGTATTTTAAGATTGTTTAATATATGTTTTGTTCCATTTGAAGTGAATATTCAGACAAGGTTATTTTAATGTACAAGTTATTTATGAAAAATATATATATGAAGGTAAGTATATTGATATAAATGGTATTCTGATGAGGATACGATTTTGAAATGGTTTTTGTTGAACTTAAACTTGTCATTGTTTACTTCTTTGTTTTGGTTGAATCTTCCAACATCGAGGTCTACAGGACAAGTTGTGAATCACATGCGGAGAAATTCAAACACTTCACTTCTACCTGAAGTTTGTGCTGAAGATGTCGTTCAGAAGAACGATGAAAAATCCACGACCAAATCATCCGGCTCAGAGAATAAAACTCCATCAAAAAGAGAATGCGATTGTTTTATACTAATATGGAAATTCACTTAATATATTCATTTTGCAGATAAAATTATTGCCTTGAAGTTAAATTATATTATCAGCTAAAGAACCAGTAGAAACAAACAATCATGGGAGAACTTCTTTGTGTTAGGCAGTCGCCCGATTGTCATCCGTACTATGTATACGCGAGCGCGATTTGAGTGGAAAAATAAGGAATAAATAGGAAGCTTTATTGACTAACCGAAGAGAAGTATGTACATTCATTGATGAAGAGATATGGTTCTTACATAGATGAATCTAATCTCGTCCAATGGCGTCCACCTATCAAAATCTGTTACCTATTATTTTGTTTTGAGCTGGCATGTCTGACTGACCCAGCCTAACACTACTTTGTCTTTACTTGGAACTTCAAAACAGCGTACACCAAACGACCCAATGGTTCTTTCAATAAAGACATTCCGTGATAAAAAAATAACTCTAGATTGAGCATTGTCAAATAACCCTAAGCTTTGTGACTAAACTATTAATAAGGATTTTAACCTCAATTCAAGTTTTACTCTTAAATTCATATTTACAATAAATATTTGTTTGTCTAAACTAATTATTGATATTTGGACGAAATTTTCTAAATTTAAAATCACGTCCGAATCTTCACAACTGAAAGGTCATATCTCAATAACTCCACTAAAATGGTTAGTCACCCACGCCTCCAAATCCGAAACTTCAACCTAAACCAGTCGTAATCAGAATATTTTTAGAACTAATGCACATATTAAGCCCAAATTAGTGAAAGGTCTAGTTACTTAAATCGATAACAACAATTTAATACAGAATACATGGAATATGGCTAACAGTGAAATTTAGGACGCGTGTTTCGTCCGATTTGGGACTCTTTAACTAGATTTACTTACATCTTAAAGTTGGAATTCACCTAAGGAATCGAACTCAGTATCATTCACTTCAAACGCCAACGCATTATCCACTTAGCTGTTGAGTCCAAATAGTCAATCAATTTTTGCAATGGATAAGAATGTCAATCGAATGTGTTATGCTTTAAATTACCCCATTGTTAATATAATAACCACACAAATGAAGAAGAGAAAAACCGATCAGGATTTGGAATATATATGTATATATAATATTGAAATTAGTTTTATTTTTTGTACACGTTCAATAGAAGAAGATGAATAAAGAATGTGAAAGCGGAGTTAACGAAAATAAATAGCATTAATAGATCTTAGTTATGTTAAAAACAGAGAAAATCATAATAGTATTACAATTTGACGTATCTACGCTTGTATAAAATATACAACATTTGCAAAAAAAAAGAAAATAAAACTGAACAGAGAAAAAAATAATAGTAAAGCATCACAGATTAATATTCATTCATCAAATAAGTTTAATCAAAAAACAAAACAAAACAAAAGAAAAATAAAGTTGCTAGGAAGAGAGAGAGAGAAAAAAGTTTCCATAGAAAAAAACACACACTGAAACATTGAATTCAAATAAGAAAACTATGCAGTGATTTGTTTGGCATTTGAGAAAGAGAGAGATAGTAAATATTTTGAGATTATTGAATAGAGAGAGAGACGGAAAAAATCTGGTAATTCATATATAGTTTTTGTTTTTAATCGAATAACAATTGCTGCTTGTTTTTCTGATAACAAAAGAGAGAAAAAACGAGAGAGAGAGAGAGAGAGGAATTTGTATTATTCATTAATTTGTGATTGTACTCGATGTATCAAGATTCGATGTGTATGTTGTGTCTGTTTCATTAGTATTTGAAGATGAATTGCTATCACTGATCTGATAGTTATTCGAATTATTAGAACGTGATAAAACAACTTCAGAATAAGAAGGCGGGGAATTTGTGTTGGTGGTAGTAGTAGTAGTAGTAGTAGTAATATTAGGTGATGATGTGATATGCATTGATTCAAGTTGTGATTGTTCGATTTCTGTTGGATTTCCTATATTTAAAGTAGTGGTTATTGACGTTGATGTATTAACACATTGTTTAGCTAGTAGATCATTAGTAGATTGAATTTCTGAATAAGCTGGTGGTGGCTGAATGATATGCTTTAAACTGGAATAAGCGGGTGGTGGAGGTGTAGTACGAAATCCATCAGAACAGAGAACATTAGGTCGCCCAAAATCTATAGAAAATAAACAATAATGTTGATAAAGGAGAAAGTTAAAGGTAGGAACATTAGACAACACTAGCCCCAATGTATTTAATTAATTAGAAATAAAAAAGACGCCCAAATAATTCAGCGTAACGAACAGCCCATGCTGCTATATAACAATACTGTTATGAGAACAAAAATGAACACAGGTTCTAACATCGAATTGTGATCAACCAGTGTATTATGGAGCAAATTGTATTGTCTAGTCCAATAATTCATTAATTTGCCTATATCGCCTGTAGGAGCTGTGACCGACTTATCAAATGACGCAGAGGCTAATGAACAACAATGAAGGCCTTAAAGCCTATCGGTCTTTCAGCTGCTAATCCAATGGTCCAGTCAGAAGACGAAAATAGGAAGCAGATTAGTTATCTTTTGTACTTTGTTCAACTAAGGCTTATATCTCATACAATGATATGCTTCATAAATACCTGAGCGCATGGTAAGACAAATAGAAAATTACAATTTGTACACAACTCAGTCGTAAGTGATATTAAATCGGAATAATAAGGAAATAATTAATCATTGGTAAATCTGGAACAATAAGACACACAACAACGGTTTATTGGTCGAATGAAATATTAGAAATAGAATATGATGAAAATGTAATAAACTAAGCACCTAATAATTATGCAGTAATTTCCACTACGGTATTTCTGAAAGTTCAACCGTTCACAAATCCTTTTTGATGTAATAAATACATGTTTGTGATAAATGTAACATATTTAAAACAAACGATCTGAAGACATATCTACTATTTCGAATTGTTGAAAAAAATGTGCATTTCAGTAACCGTACATAACTTTATTCTTACGTCTGACTGATTGACATTTAAACAATTCTTATAGTTTGGTCGGAAACAGTAAGAAATAATGTTAAGTGTATAAACCAGTAGTAATGATACAGTTGCGGAAATAAGGTAAGATGGTCGGTCACTTAGTAATTGAAGTATTTGATTTCCAATTTTCAAATCCTTCCAATCTACCTGGTTTTAAATAACCTGTTAGGGATGCTGAGGAATAATGTGCCAATCATTATCATGTTAAGTCTAATGATGTCCTTGGACTCTAAATGGGCATTCCCTATTGGCCATTATTTATTTCATTCGTTAAATATTGTAAGAATGTTGTTTTCTATTTTTATGGTACGATGTGGTATGTTTGGTTAGTATATAAATAGAGTATGTCTGAAATACAATGATTCATAACTCAGAGGCTGTGACTTGTGTTCTGGACTCAACTGGCTGGGCTAGACAGGGAAGAGGGGCCAATCGGGACTCTAGGTCGTCCTTACGTGTTTTACGTGTCACTGTAATCGGTCGATATAAACGCTGCTTATCAAAACCTGCAGTCCACTCGTTACAACATAACCGAACGGTAACACCAGCCTGAAACGGACACATATTCAAAGTGCGGTTAAAAAAACGGAGAGTTACATCAATAGAACGGATCCCTAGACGTTCTTTCATTATTTTGTGAAGTAAAGTTTTGGGTGTTAATAGTAGATGAGTTTATCAATGATGAAATCGGGTGATACATGTGTTATATAACAAAACAGGGCTGTAACATGGAATCAATAGCTGTATAATAGTCTGTCCAGTACGAAAAGTGAGCATTAATTAACGAACTATGGCGCAAAACAGATGGTGCATTGGGGGCTCAGTGACTCAAGCACTCGGGTCTCAACCAATGAGTTCTAACTATATTTCACATACGTCGGTTAATATTATTATTATTAGTCTTCATAGGAAACTAGAATGATCCAAAGTTGTAATCGCAAATTCACATACGGCAAATGAGTGACACTGAGTAAGACAATGATGTCGTATACTCTCCTCACATCTGAAACTATTCACTTATCAGAAAGTAATCAATTCAAAGAGCTGTTTCTTAACACTCACTAGATCACAAATGAAACAATGTTACTATTACAAACAATCTGATATTGTTACTTCGGCATGAAGAATTATAAGTGATAGTACTGAGTCATGGTGATAGTGACTAACTTAAATGAAATCAAAAGTGTTTACTGAATAACGGTACCAATTCACTTGAAAGAAATACAAAGCTAAATCAATGTGATATGATATAAATTGTTACAAAATAATACTTTATCAAACAAATGACTTATACGTTAGTCTTTGTTTGAATACCGACTTTTGAATATGAATAATCATTTTAAGGCATTTTTTTGAAAAATTACAAACTATGATATTAAATTGTATACTTAATATTGAATTACTTCTATTATGGATTGATACCACTTTTGCATACTATTTCAGGCATTTTGTTACTGTTCAATATTGAGATTTATAGTTCAACAGAATAATTTGCGACAACTGAGACTGTAAACCGATCAATGTTAAATCTCCATTTAAAACCTGGGAGCACTGCACGGCCATTTCATCCTGATTTGGGACTCCTTAGCAGTGCACACCTATGATTCCACACACAGGATTCGAATACAGAGCCTTCGATGTCGAGTGAGAACGCCAAACCTCTAGACCACTGAGCCGTCGTCTAACAGTGCTAATGTTTAACTTCAACCAATCCACTAGGTTAAGCGTTCGTGCACAAGACCTAAGGTCTTAGGTTCGAACCACACATATGGGATCGTGGATGCTCACTATTGGTGAGTCCCATACCGGGACGAAACGGCCGTCCATTACTTTTAGGTTTTCAGTGGTGGTCTAACATTAATCAGTTCATGATCCCATTCACAACTCAATGCTGATAATTTGTGATAATAGTAAACGAAAAAAATGGCTTAATAGTGAAAATATCATTGTTTTACTAAATATTATATCAAATGTTTTCAGTACGAATATCGAACAAAAAAATGAAGTATGAATAGTTCTCTCTACACGTCTCTTGTAATTTATCATGTAAATATGAAATATGATTGGTTGTTGTTAGCAATTATCTTATCCCTTATCTGAGCCTATATCGTGCTTTTTCATCCCACATAATTTCAATATTTTAATCTTGTATTTGCTTATTATTTTTTTTCGTACAAACCAATAAACTTAGTCTAATTTAATGTCAATTGATTGATGAATAAATTGAGTCCAATGCTTGTAGAATAGAAAGGGAAATTATCAGAGAAGACATCGTTCTTGTATTGATTGAAATAGGAAGGGTGTATTTAGAATTGAATTAAATTAAATTGAAAGCAATACATTTTTATTGTCTCATATTAATTTAATCATTCTAGTTATTGAATGTAAAATCTTTTTAACAATTTGTAGATGTTAAAACTATCTTTAAATGGAGAATAATTTGAAACTATGTACATTGGTATTTGCTAGATTAGAAGACATACTTAAAGCATATTTTTGTTGTTGTGAACGTATTTGATTAGTTAAACTGCAAAAATAAAATAGATTAGTTTAAATAGTGTTTAGGTATCTTGTTTTTGTTTTTTCTTGTTACCGAGTTGAGAAACCTTGATTCTAAAATTTGATAATGATACATTCTTGTAAGTAAGCATTTGGGAAATAGGATTAACGTAATGTATTTCGATATATCAATCATAGTATATGTTAAATTTTAAATATAGTGAATGAGAAGTATGGTAAAAATGATTCGTAACTCTATTAGGATAGAATAATCTAAAGTTAAAGAGTTGAGAGAAGATGTATGCCAAAAAACTGCTTGTCTCCACGTACAATGTTACGTGGTTTGGGAGTAAGTTGGAAAATAGATAGGGACGACTAAACCAAGATATGACACCAAGTTCATGAAGTCATTAACTTTTAGGCTGAGCAAATTACTGGGTTAGTGTCTACGAGATTGTCATAATTAATGGGTTGAGATATTGAGTGACAGTTTAGAATGGGTTGCAATGACCCAGATCTAATCAATCTGCCTTCTTTTAGATCTCGAGTTTTAAAATTATCAAATACTTTTTGTTGTGCAATTTCACTTTTTTTCCCGAGTCACATTGTTTATGTTTAATCTTTTACGCCACTATTAATATTGATAGTAGTTATGTAAGCTATTTAATTGATTGACTAGTTGAATCAAGAACACTAAATCGTTCTACATAAGTCAAACTATAATTTACCAGTCACACACTAATATCATAGATTAATATAACGAGTATGAAGGTTGTTCTATTACATCTTTTTTCGCCACTGATAAATATTCTACATTGAACACGACTGACATTGAATTCCTAAACTTTTCCTATTCCACAGAAATATTTAACTTTGAATCCCAAAAAGAAAAAAACAGAATACAAGAAATATGGAAGCACTTTACTTTGAAGGTTAATTTATGTAATTTCAATAGTTGAGATCATGAGTAAATTAAAGCTAGACCGTTTCGTCCTATTAAGGGACTCCTCAGCAGTGCACATCCACGGCCTCGCCTCGCGAGATTCCAACCCAGCACCTACTGAACTCGCGTGCAAGCACTTAACCACTAGACTACTAAGCCGGCATCCAATGGCGTTAATGTCTAACTTCAATTAGTCCACGAAATTGAGCGATACATCCACCATTGTCATCAGCGAGTTACTATCTCACAACTGACCCGGTTGAACTCCACTGATCACTGCTTCTCACTTGAAACTAGCTTCAATTGATTCATGATCTCAACTATTAAAATTACTAACATCTCCACAAAACTCATTCTCATGTTAATTTATGTAATTACGAACTGTAGGTAATCTTAAACATTCTAGAACCATCTGAAAACGATAGTTAATACTTTATCATCACTTAAAGGTCGTCCATAAATTATGGTCTTACTCACCGAAAACTTTTTTTTTAAGGAATTAAAGAATGCAATGCATTAAACTACTTTCTTTTATCAAACTATTATTGTGTTGTCGGTCGAAGTCAATGTTCAATGATCCATAGAATATTTTTCATTTTATCGATTCATTATACTCATGATAATGATAATAATCTTTGTACTTACAAATATATGAAGTAATAATAATAATAAATGATTATGCTACATATATTTTCTTCAGTCATATGGTATGATTCTGATTATTCAGTTAGAAAACTTGTTAGTTCTAGTTTTGTGACCTATATGATATACAATCAGTATACTTCACAATAAGGCAGTGATTGACACAGCATGAATGAAATTGAACTTAAGTTGTTGGTTGATTCAAATATTATATAGTGAATTTAATTTATGGAATATTACATTTTATTTGTTCAGCTATTGACCTGGTTGAAAAATTTAAGATATTCTCAATTTTACTGTTAAATCAAGAACTTGAATTTTTACTATACCGTGTACAACTTGAGTACTCGAACGCTTGAATCCTTTAAGTTGCAAGTTAGAAAATAGGAGAGAGAGAGGGGAAGAAATCGTATTCCAACCAGTTAAATATGATACAAAACACTCGGGTATTTATAGTTTATAATAAAAACGAAATCATCCTTACAATCATTCAATCTGCATGAGGTGGTTTTCGCATTTGTCCAATTGGGAAGCTATACGCCGAGATTCGGGAATGTTCTTTCAAATGATGACTGGATGGAATGTTTTTGACTCTTTTAGAGCTTCTTAGTGCTTCCTTGTACATGTACAGTTTACTAATTTACTTATGTAAACTTATGTTCTGGGTCTGATTTCAGGCGAGATGAAGGTGTAAAGTCTCCTCGAAAGTTTAAAGTGGTTCTTTAATGGTTAAGTTTTAGTATAAGTCATTCGGAGTTAAAAATATAAGTAATACAACATTTAGGCTTATTATTTATCCAATGAAAAGCTTGTAAGTTGATGGTAATGTGTAAGAAAGTTATATCCCGGGAGCACAAGAAGGTCAGCATTAGTTATGGAATCATAACATAAAACGAAACATTTGTCTAGTGGTTTTTCATTTATGAATTCTAGTGAGGGTAATAGAGTTCAGCCGTGTTGAACACTAATTAGTTAACCATCAATGACTAATGGGGTCAGAAAATGGTAGTGAAATATGTCGAATCGATTGAATTTAGAAATGTGAACCATTGTGTGAAGATTAACTGATCTAAAGGCTAACAAGGATGGAGCAAATCTCCAGTATTTCCTACTTTTCAATGGTTATTTCTTGAAAATCAATTCATGATGTAAACTATAAAAGAGTAAATCTAACCTAGTTTTTTGTCAATAAAGTAAGATTGATGCAATAAAAAAAATAATTACAATTCTAACAAAAAACAAGGTATTACATAAGACAATGAAAATAATCAAGTGAATATAACATACATGAAGAAAGATTACGCCAATTTGAATTTGACATATTATTCGTACTTTCTATACCATGTATACTATTTGAACGATATGGTCTTGTCTCCCATATATTAAATGGTGAAGAAAATCCACCAGTTCGAATACGTCCAGAACGTGATGAACGTGTATGATGATAATGATGTCTATTTGTTGTTGTATAAGTAAGATCAGATAGTGAACAATATGGACGTGTATTCAAATTATTACGACGTAAATATGCTCTACGACCAACTAAACTTAACCATGTTAATAGACAAAAACATGCTAAAAGCATAGCTGGTATTTTAAACCATGAATAAGCAGTTTTACACGGTCGACATAAACATGGATCAAGAAAATATTCACTAAAATATCAAAAACCAAAAGAAAAGAAACGGAAAGAAATCGATTAATAATAATATATGTAGTAAACATTGTGTAATCATGATCATGATATTAACAGGATACTTAGAAATAATAAAAAAACTCCGTTATTTTTACTAGTTTCATTGTCTGAACGTTGAATGTGAGGATGGCTCCTGGTGAACTCAAGGAGACACTAAGAAGCTCTGAAAGAGTTAAAAACATTCCATCCAGTCATTGTTTGAAAGAACATTCCCGAATAATCAGAAATAATAAAAAAATCCGTTCTTTTTACTAGTTTCATTGTCTGAATGTAATAGCTTATTTTGTGAAGTTTTCGTTAGCCTTTTAAATGACAACAACAAATGTTGAGATTTTGGATAGAAGAAATAAAAAGACCAGAGAATTTTTGAAAGCTTACGACTCAGATCAGCTGGCAATTAACAGAAAAAAACCCATCAAAACCGATTATATTTATTAACTAATTCGAAAAATCATGGATAAATATAATATAAAGAACCAAATCATAAAAATATATTTGAAGGTATTTCATTGAAATCATAAACCAGTCAGTCAGTAACAACGCAGAACTTCGTACGTACGTACATTAGTTCAAGTTGCCATATCACATTAGCACAGAGATGCAGTGGTCGATTCAAATCCCGTACTGGTAGAGGTAGTAAAATTATAAGCAGTAATCGGAAACACTAGGGCTTGAAGATGTTATTTAAAGAGTATAATACAGTGAAATAAATTTGGAAAGAAAATAAGGGACATGAAGAATTCAGAAGATTAGAATTTGGGAGAACACAAAGAGTGGATCACCTGCACCATTGCAAACGATTTTCAGCCATGTCATTCAGGGTCTCTAACCATCGGTTGTTATCATCTCGTGGACCCCAACCAGATAGTCTGTACCTACCAGCATGGCTCAGTCAACTTGTCAGCGATTTCATGGATTTGTGCCATGTTTTGGTCTGGTCGCCTCTAATTTTCTTCCAACCTACTCCTACACAATGAAACATCGCACATCCGTCAGTCCGTGGTTGGGCATACGTAATATATGTTCCAGTCATCTCAACTGATGAAGTTTCACTACGTCATCAATTGATTTGCCATCCTTACCTAGTACCCGTTTCCTAACAACTGCATTACTTACTCGATGGTCCCAGGATATACGAGCAATATTTCGAAGACACCTATGATCAAATACTAGTAACCTACAAATATCCTCTACTCTTACCGGCCATGTTTCACTGCCATAAAGTAGGACGGAACGAACTGTTGCGCAGTAAACACGTCATTTGGTTCATAGACGGGTATCTCGCCTACGCCATAAATGACTCAAGTTGGCAAAAGCTAGTCGAGCCTTCTGTATCCGTGCTGAGATTTCGTCACACACCAGACCACAAGGGCTGATGAGACTTCCAAGATAAGTAAAACGATCGATGCGCTCAATTACTTCACTCCCTACCATTAGTTCAAGTGTCGATGCAACCCAATTCTGAAGCAAAATTATGCATTTCGAGGGAGAGAATCGCATCCCGAACATGCTTACATTGTTGCTTAGAGTGGTCAGGAGACTTTGAATTTTGTCAGCGTCTTCACCAAATAAAATTATATCACCAGCATATTCTAAGTCAACAAGTGAATCTCCTGGTAGAAGTTCAACCCTTGGAAATCTAGACGAGGAAAGTGTTATCTCTAAAAGTACGTCGACCACAAAGTTGAACAAGAATGGAGACAGTGGACAGCCCTGACGAACACCACTTGAGGTAATCAATTCTGATGACAGTTCACCATAAGCTCTCACTCGACCAGTTGTGTTCGAGTAGAGGGCCTTTATAAGGTTAATGTACTTCTTTGTTACTCCTTTCAGTGACAAACACTGCCATAGAACCTCACGATCAACAGAGTCCAATGTTGCCTCAAGGTCGAGAAATACTAAAATTGTGTGGCGTCTGAACGTGTGTCTGTGTTCTAGAACCTGATGTAGTGTGAATATCTGGTCTATACAACCACGTCCAGGTCGAAAACCAGCCTGGTTTTCTCTAGTCTGCTCTTCACGAGCTTTAGTTAGGCGTCGAAGTATTATTGAAGCTAATATTTTAGACACTATATTTGTCAAACTGTTATGGCTCAAATTGAGTGCCGATTATATGACAGTGACTTATCGATCGAATCAAGGGTTCAGAATCTCGATAGACTATTCTGGTCCGTTGTCCCCAACTCTGCTAACTCGATCAAGAAGTCTGGGTAAGGTGTAGAAAGTGTATTCTACAGACAAACAGCAGATCACAAGTCAGGCAGGCAGATCAGATCAAGCATACAAGTCAAGCGTATTTATACAATTATTTACAATCGATATTGTCATAGAAGATTTTTGAACATTAATCAACAATTGACTGCTATTTGAACATTTAATCGATAGTTCATCAATTGACCTATTTGTACATTTAATCGATAGTTCATCAATTGACCTAACTGCACATTTAATCGATAAGTAAATTACAAAATTTGAGTTTTGGGGATCTATCGTCCCCAACACTCCTCCCCTTTTTAGAAGATCCGGAGTTGATATCCGGATTTTAAGTTTTCCAGGTCCATCCTCCTCCACGAAACAGTGTTGGATCCTCATATGCCCACGTTATAATTAACTTGAATTTATTTAAGACATATTTATCGCACTGAACAGAGAATTGACTGAAAGTGACTAAGTCTTGAGGCTGAACAACACTTGATGTGAGGTGTTCGAAGTTTAATTCTTCTGAAATATTGTGACCAAATTTATTTGGAATCTTATTTGTAGATAATCGATCATCAAGGTAATTAGCATCTATCAAAATTGTATTAAGTTTTTGATCATCATTTGATGCATCTGACATATTTTCTGGTAAGAGAGAATCTTGATAATAAGATTTGTCAAAAACATCTGTCGCAGACTGATGAGAACCATTTGAAGCAGTTGTATTCAGTGCACTGCTCGATTTGTTTTCTGTTTCATGGGTGGTTATTGCGACAATTCTATGAGGATTTACCAGGGAGTGTGTTTGTGAGCTGGATAAGTCACCGTCTGCACATGCTGTTTTGGGGATAATGGAGTTTGAGTCCATTACCGGGCATGTTTCTGGAATGGAGAGGACTGGACCACTGGGCGAATCTTGAGTGACTGTTGTACCGTTTGAAATACGGTTTATCGGGGATTCATTGGGGCTGCAAACACTTTCCAGCTCTGTGTGCAGTTGAGAGATCAATCCATCCACTTCCGTTGCATCTCCAAAGCATGAGTGATTTAACAGCTGCGTGCGTAATTTGACTAAAAACTCCAACTGTCTTTCAAATAGCAGCTGTACTCGATCGGAAGGGAGAGTCATTTTTTTTTATTCAGCACCGGTAATGCAAATTACTGTTTGATTAATGACCAATGTTGCTGAAGGACACTGATGACAAATCTGGATGCTGAAGGCTGACTTTGGATTGTTCTTTTCTTTTTTTACCCCGTCGCCAATTGTTATGGCTCAAATTGAGTGCCGATTATATGACAGTGACTTATCGATCGAATCAAGGGTTCAGAATCTCGATAGACTATTCTGGTCCGTTGTCCCCAACTCTGCTAACTCGATCAAGAAGTCTGGGTAAGGTGTAGAAAGTGTATTCTACAGACAAACAGCAGATCACAAGTCAGGCAGGCAGATCAGATCAAGCATACAAGTCAAGCGTATTTATACAATTATTTACAATCGATATTGTCATAGAAGATTTTTGAACATTAATCAACAATTGACTGCTATTTGAACATTTAATCGATAGTTCATCAATTGACCTATTTGTACATTTAATCGATAGTTCATCAATTGACCTATCTGCACATTTAATCGATAAGTAAATTACAAAATTTGAGTTTTGGGGATCTATCGTCCCCAACACAAACTGATTCCTCTGTGATTGTCGCAAGAGGACTTTTGTCCTTTCTTATAGACTGGCACAATCACTTGCATAGCTGCAACAGACCGTCGCCATTATCTGTTCTTTGAGCCACGACACCATAAGATCCACCCAGGTGTCTTTCCCTATCGCTTAGTTTACCTACTTGAGTATTAAAGTCACCGGCCACTATTACTACATCCGAGCGTCTAGCTTTTCGGAGAAGGTCAAAGAGATTTCTGTAAAACTCATCTTTTACATCATCTGAGCTGCAGTCAGTGGGAGAATAGGCAGAGACGACGAAGAGGCAACGACGAGTGTCCCTATCTTTTCGGATCCTTACCGTTCCGTTCAGTCGGACAGCGCACAAACGACTGTCTACTGGGATCCACTCTAAGAGAGCTAGTTCTGCCCTAGGACTCAATGCTATACCTAGGCCGGCGAGGCCACGGGAAGCAGAATCAGGGCTTCCAGATACACGAAGTGTGAATCAAGTCGGTTCTTTAGTTCGGCACGGTGAGGTCAAACGAATGACGCTACTTGGATCCTGTATGCGCGTTTCGGAGACGCAGCACACATCGATGGCGCGAGATTCTAAAGTCCTAAGGAAGCTAAGGAAGCCTGTTGTCCTGTTTGTCATAACGTTAAAAGCTCCTACGTGTAGTTTAGAGCGTGGTTTCAGGAGACCAGGAATAGGGTTCCACGTACTCGAATCGTTTTCCCTAACGGTGCGAGGTGAAAAAAGGACGTGAGAAGGGTTAGTCATGGAGATAAGAGAGGTATTAGGAGGTGTAGGAAGGATTTGAATGTGACCAACTTGTTCTCGTGCGCTGTTACGGGTATGAGGGCTGATATCACTTCCCGGCTGCCCACATCATGGAAGGGTATTTATTGAGAAACCTGAAAAGTAAATTGGATTAGTGTTGGTCTTAATGACCTGGGAGCGTGACCGCAGAGCCCAAGGGACAACTGCTTGAGGCCGGTCGCGCACGGCCTTTTTGTGGGAGGTTTTTGACGTATTAGCTCCGTTCTTCAAAGGGTTTTACCGCCGGAGACGAAAATCCGTGAGGTAAGGTGA